GTACAACCTCCCTCCAAGACTCATGAGATGGCCATTCCCCAAACATAGGGAGGGCATTCAGATGCTTACTCAATCAGCATTGTGCTTTAAGTCTTGAGCTACATTCCTGCTTCCCCACCTCTATCAATAGCATCCGTAAACTTCTAGGTCCTCAGGTGCAAATCCTGAGCATTATCCTGGATTTGCCTTCTTCCTTTCCCCTTCATCCAGATCAGTCACATCAGAGCCCATCACTTCGTCCTCAGTAGCGCTTCTCACATCCATGCCTTCCTTTCCCTTACGCATATCTCCATGTCAGCTCATTCACTGAACAGGCATTTATTGGGTGCCTCCTGTGTGCCAGATGCTATGTTGAAGAGGAAGGTGAAAGCTGCTTTGAGGGCCTAGCAGCCTGGTGGGGGAGGCAGACACGAATAATTACAAGACAGTGTAAAGGCTGCTGTCCTGAAGACCTATACAAGGTGCTGTGGCCGCATGGGGGCCGGAGCCCTGGGACACCTTAGGTGAGTTAAGGAAGGCTTCCCGGAGGGAGCCAAAAGATAAGTGATAAAATAAAGGGGATAAAAGTGATCAAAGTTAAGCAGGGGCTAACAGTCTAAGGCGGCTGACGAAGTGCGTGGTGGAGAGTGGACAGCGTATGTGAAGGCAAGGAGGTAGGGAAGAGCGTGTTGTGTCAGGCGACTAGCGTGTCCCTCGGAGGGAGTCTGACTGGGAGGAGATGGGAAATGGAGGCAGAAGTTCGGTTATTAGGAGGCTCATGTGCTTCACCAGGGAGACTGGATTTGATGGGGGTACTGGGCAGTTAGCTGACAGCCTCAGAGGTGCTGAGTGCAGAGTATGGCTCGGGGACAGCACATAACCACCCCCAGGATGAAAGGAAACCCGAATCTAGCTGCCCACTGAGCCCAGCACCAACCAGAAACTTAACTGGCTCTTGGCTGGTTCTGAACAAAGAGAGGAATGTGAAAGGAGTGGGAGCCACCTGAAGAAGGGTCTCTGCCTCTCCCCCTCTAGAATCACCCTCACTCCTCTCGGCCACACACACCTGCACGGTCGGGCAGGCTCAGGGGAGCTCCCTGGGAAGAGACGTGGAGAAGCCAAGGTTGGTCCCCAGCACAGTGAGTGCCCTGAGGTCAGGACAGGAGATGGACCTCTGGGGACTGGAGTGAAGAACAGAGAAGTTCAGTCCTGGAAACTTCCTGGAGGAGGGAGTGGGAGAAGGGGTAAGGGAGGGTCCAGGGGTGGGCCAAGGCTCTGAGGAGATTCTTCCTAGAGAAGGGGTGAGAGGCTGGAGAGACAGCTGAGGAGATGACGATGCCACTGCCGGCCACTAGGGTGGAATGTAAGTGGGTGTGCCGCCTACCGCCCCTCCCCCAGGCGCAGCCTCTGCACAAAGACCTCTCTGTGAGTAGCTGTGGAAGTGGCCATGTCAGGTGCGGGGGCTTAGCTCCCAGGGCCCACTGGGAGTGGGCTGGCATGGGGTTGGAGGAGGGGAGGGTGAGGGGTGGCCTCAAGCTTTAGCCAGGTCCTGGCAGGAAACAGAAGCTGAGATTTGGCCAGGTCTCACAGTGAGGCCATCCATGGTAGAGCCGTTCCCAGGACAGGCTCCTCTCCAGCACCAAGGCTCTGCCCCTGCTCCCTCCCCATGTCTTTCCAGGTGTATCTCCGATCCTGCCAGGCCTGTCTAGCCTCCCTTCCCCAACTGTACACGCCCTCCCATAGTACCTCTGCAGCTGGCCCCGCCCGGAGCCTCTCTCTTCTTCCAGCATAAGAGTCCCCTCCAGCTCTGCACAGGGCTCCCTGTCCAGGGAGGGCTATGTTGGGATCAAGACTGACCAGAGCCCAAAAAGGAGTCCAAGGTCCCCTCGGTCTCCACACCCAGGGGAGGTTTCTCTCCTTGCCTGGCCTCAGTGTCACTTATGCTAATTGGCAGTGTGGGTAGACCTTCTCCCCTACCTCTAACCCTCCGTTATAGGTTGGTCCCTGCTAATAAAAGTTTGGATTTGGGGCACTGGAAGCGGTAGAATGACAGTGGACACACCTCAGCTGGCAGGTTGCTCACAGATTTGATAGAGGGGCTCCGGCCATAGGAAGAACAACAAAAGAAGGAGGTTTTGGTTTTCGACCCTGGAATAGGGCAGGCTGGTCAAGATACAAATTCTATCTTCCCTCCCTTACTAGCTGGGTGGCCTTAGGCAAGTCACTTAACGTCTTTGGATCCTAACTTCCTTCCACGGTTATCCTGAGGATCAAATATGTCGGTGTGGATGAAAGGCTGTGTGCAGATGTCCAGTGCCCATTCTAAATGCTGAGGGACACAGAGTTAGAGGGGCCACGATAGGCAGATGGGGACAATCCAGGAAGGCTTCCAGAGTCTGGAAATGAGGGAGTGGGTTGCTGGGGAGGAGAGTGAAGGGACTCTGGGTGCAGAACGTGATGAAGCCCTGTCTGGGAAGCGTGGCTGGGCTCCGTGGACTGGCTGGAGCTCTCTGGTCTCAGGCAGGTGAGCATCTTGCTGAGACACGTTTGGGAGGCACTTGTTTTTAACAGCTATGTGGTGAAATGGACTCCATGACCACGGCTTCTTTCGTCCTTCTCAGGAAGATCTTCCCACTGGCCCTGTGTGAATACTGTCCAGCCATTCCGGGAAGAGAGGAGGGGTGGAGTGAAGCTCGATTTCCCTTCATTGTCCTAACCCACTCTGCTCCCTCGTCTCAATGCTCTCCAGAGGGAACCTTAGCCAGACATTGTGACCCTCCACTGAATGAGGACAAAATGGTACCTCCAAGCCTTGCCACTTAGGACCCTCCCAAGTCCCTGATTTTAAGGTTCCTCAGCACTGTCAGGAGTGAGCTAAATTCAGACCAGTTTAGACCTCTCGGCTGGTGGGCCAGGGAGACTTTGAGCAGGAGGGTCTTTTGTCTCTGAGCAGTCATCCCTTGTTGTACAAGCAAGAGTCTCGAGGAGGAATCCCCACAGATAGCAATGGAGCCTTTAGGCCTGGAGGGAAGGGACAGGCTGAGGCTGGCATATGGAGGGAGAGCCCTGGGCACAGGGTCATGAGCTTCACCCAGCTGGGGCTACCTTCTGCTGGGTTTGTCCATCTGGCACCAGCTGGCTTCCCGGCACTGCCCCCGCAACCAACCAGACTCCTTCTTCTGCTGTTACCATGGCAATTGGCTGCCATCTTGTACTTGGGGCACTATCTCATATCTGGATTTTCCCATGGGGCTCCTGGAGGATGGGAGATAGGTCTCCAGGGGATTTATCTCTCCTCTTGATAGCCACCCAATAAAAAATCATATTAATATATGATTTTTTAAAATAGCCAAAACGAAGGCTTACTATATGTCAGGCTCTGCTAAATACTCTCTAATATGTTATTTAACATGGCTAAGAAAGCATTAATGAGACAAAATTTAAGGGGTTCCCACTCAGTTTCCTGTTTCTTTGACAGACTTTTCCTCTCTCCAACCAGGAAATTCCATGATCTTGCTTAGTGCTGTCTTGGGAAGTCCTTTCCAGTGTCTAACCAAGATCTGTACTGCTGAAGTTCTTTGACCCTTGGCTTGACATGGCTAATTGGAGAGGTAAGGAAGGAACTGCCACCCAGCTTTAATCACTTTATTGAGCTTCCCGGACTCCAGCTGTTGGGATAGGGAAACTGAGACTTGGCCAGATTGGTGAGGGGCCCAAGTGCCCCTTAAAGACTTGGAGGTCCCAAGTCTAAAACCTTTTGTTTAGAGAAGTGGAGTCAGTGTCACAAATGCTTTGAAATTTCCCTTCCTTGCCCCCATCCCCACCCAAAGAGAGAGGCAGGAGCCAGAGACCATTGGCAAGTGATAGTCTTCTAGCTCGGGTGCAGTGGGGGTGGAAGGCAGTCTCCCCCTCCAGCCACTGGGGACGTTCCAGCAGGGTCCCTGAGAGATCCTGGGAGGGTAAGAATTCCCTCCTTCTGTAGCTCAAGCAGAAGGCTGAGAATTGTCACCTTGAGCTAGAGGGGCACCTATAAGGGGCACTGAGCAGGGGCCAGCTTTGCAAGGGAATCCTGAATGAGGAGCAGGTGGAGAGAGAAAGAAGGCCATTCTCAACTGAGGAAGGGTGGGCTGGCAGGGAGGGGCTAGGGATAATTTACGATATCACTGTTCTCCGCCCCGCTTTCCCAGCCCCCACCCTCTTCCCAGCCCCCTGCTACTGTACGGTTGCTAGGAGATGCTCCCTCTGTCTGGAGCTGGGAGGGTGTAACAGGCGGAGACTGTTCCATCTGGACTCCTCCTCCCCCACCCAGAGGAGGGCCCTGCGCTGGGCTTCATCTACCACCCCTGCCCAGGCCCTGACAGACACCAGTTTCCTCTGCTGTTCCCCTAAATCCAGCCAGCCTGGGGCTAGCAGGGTTCCCAGACAGGCTGAGGATCTGGAGCAAGGAGGGGAAAGAGAGCTGTGGAGGGAGATGCTAACAGACTTAGCGGGCACTGAGGGGCAGCTGGCTCACCTCCGGGCCTCTGGGAGCCAGCCCAGGCTGGGAATAGGGCCAGAGGGCGTCAGGGACACAGGCCTCAAGGAGCCCAGGTTTGAGGGAGACTGAGTCCCTACCTTTGGGGAGCTTCCAGTTTGATGGGGTGAGGCAGACCTCCCATCCCCACCCCTCCATAGTATGGTCAAGGTCAAGGTTAGGGACTGGCAAAGGTGGGGTTGGGGGCAGGGCAGGGAAGGAGGAGGTGGGACAGGGAGGAAGGAGGCAAGTCTGGAAAGTCTGAGAGTCTAGGTAGGAGGAAGGTGACACTGATCTGAGCAGAGATGGGCAGCACAGCGGTGTGGCCTAGAATTTCAGAAAGAATTTCTTTCTGAAATTCTCTTCTCAGATTTTTTTTTTTTTTTTTTTTTTTTTTTTTTTTGCGGTACGCGGGCCTCTCACTGTCGCGCCTCCCCCGCCGCGGAGCACAGGGTCCGGACGCGCAGGCTCAGTGGCCATGGCTCACGGGCCCAGCCGCTCCGCGGCATGTGGGATCTTCCCAGACCGGGGCAGGAACCCGCGTCCCCTGCATTCGCAGGCGGACTCTCAACCACTGCGCCACCAGGGAAGCCCATCTTCTCAGATTTTAAAGCTGTTGGAGAAGTCGGGTGAGGAGAACTCTGGGGGCTCCCCACTCCGGGTGGGGCAGGAAAGGAATGCTGTGCCCACAGCTGTGCCTCTGACACCTGCTTTCTGTGCAGCCCCTATTGGTTTTATTCTTTCCTAGGCACAGCTTCCCTCCACCCCAGGAAGGAAGGGACTGACCTTGATCTGGCACCCGCTTGCTTGTGTAAGCCCTTTCCTAGCCATTGTCTCAGTTAATCTTCCAACGGTCCTGAAAACTGGTGATACTGTCCCCACTTTACCAAGGCATAATCAGAGCCCCAAGTCACAGGACTAGTAAGTTGGGCTGGGCTTCAAATGGGACTCGGTGGCACCCACAGCATATGCTGTCTCCCTCCCCTGTGCTGACTTCCTGCAGAACGTGTTCCAAACACAGTCGGAGGGACTGAGAGGAGAGACGGCCAGATGGGGGGGAGGCCTTCTCTGCGTGTTCTCAGGGGAGGAAGGGGCGCTCCTTCTCAGGTGCAGGAGTGAAGTCTGAGGAATGCTGAAACAGTCCTTGCAGGTTAAAGAGAGGACTGGGGAAGAGGCCACGGGAGCTGTAGAAGTCAACAAAATCTTCCCGGGTTTGTCCCGAGCCAAGGAAATATGCTTTCTGTCTTCCTGAAGCAAGTGCCCTGGGCCACTGCCTAGCCTCTCTCCTGTTTGGGATCTGAGCTCCTGCCCTGGGCATGCCCTCTCTGCCTCCGCCTCCACACACACAACCCCTGCCATGGCCCTGCGTAGAGCACCTAGAAGACGCTCCTAGATTCATCCATTGTCATGGTGGCCCCCTCTTACATGGAGCCCTCCCTGGTCTCTCGCGTTTCCTGGCCACTGGACACTTGCCCTCTGCCTCCTGCTAAGGTCTCCATCCAAAGAGAACCTTTTTGAATCTTGACATTTTTTTTCTCTTCAGACCAAAAAGAAGAACCTACTTCACCCAGCTGGCTTGGGTTCCCTCTGAGAAGCCGTCCTGATTGACTGAAAGATAAGGCTAAACTCTAGCAAGTTGAAGAGCTCTTTCAAGAAGCCTTTGAACCAGAGAGAAGTGGGGAGGCCCTAGCCTCCAGCCTGGGCAGCCCACTGTACCTGGAGCCACCTGGGATAACACTTTGCTTCACCATTGCTCCCAGGTCTACAAGCTGTCCATCCCACCCGTCCTGGTTTCTCCTGTGTTGTCTGAGCTGAGATTCCTCTGAGATGGAAGTCCCATCTCCTGTCTAATAAAGACTCTTGAATACTGACCAACAGTACTAGTGGTAGTGGATGTACCTGGGCAGGGGAGGGGCTGAATGAGAGGAGGGCAGTACCGGGCTCCCTCTAAGAGACCAATGCTATAAAAGCCACCATTGCAACAAAAGGGGGAAGCCTCACTAAGACAGAACTCCCATCTGTGGGGGATGGGTTGGGGAGGAAAGATCTCCTTGGCTCCTCCCACCTCTCTGAGCCATCCCAAGGCCCCTGGGAACACCATCCATGATCTGGTCAGTCCCAACTCAAAGCAGTGGGCTGACGCTCCCAGCCAAGGAGGCCCCTAGGTACCACCCCAAGGACCAAGAGGATGGGAGAGGGTGGGGTTGCTCCCCCAGAGTGCCTGTGTGGGAGGTCACTGGATGGCCCTCTGTCTCAGCCACCAAGGGACACATCCTTAGAAATGTCCTCCAGGGTTTGAACAGACCAGAGATAAAGAGCATCCCTGCTTCACGGGGCCACCCACTCCTGCTTCCTCTCTGTCCACCCTCAGTAGAGGCAGAAGGGGATGAATATGCTTAACAAAAGGGATTCAGGTTACACAGCAGGTAGGACTTCCCAACAATACCTGGGAGGGAACCTGAGGGAGCAGGGGAACCACAGCAAGAAGGAACTGTGCTCTTGGCCTCATTTGCCCCATAACACACCTGCATAAAACATGCTCCCCCAAAAGATAGCGCCCCCCCCCCTCCAGTCTCTAGAGAGTTCCTGCTGGAAAGTGTTAGCAGAGTCCAGAGTGCCAGCTCCTTTTAAGCCTTCTACCACTCCCTAAAAAGTCCTTCCTCCCATCTAACAACAATCCCTCCATGGAACTATAGCTGGAATCCTGGGATTTTTCTAAATAAAATGGCTTAAGATAATACACATGGTTCAATTCCAACAGCACAAGAGGGAAAGTATGCCTCTTACCCTCCCCTGTTCCCAGCCACCCACCTCCTCTCCCAAGAGGCAACCACTGGTGCCTATGTCCTCCCTGAGATACTCTGCGCATCCAAGTACGTATGTCTACACACCCCTCCCCTTCCGTTTAAACACTGACCACAGCAGTTTTAGCTCCTCTAGACCAGGGCTCCTAGCCTCAGGTCAAGATGAACCACAGGGGGATCCTTGCATCTGCTGAAATTGCATACAGAATGCTGGCTAGGCACCTGGGCATGATTTCCAGGAAGAAGGAACGCGGTAAGAGCCACCTGTTCTAGCCCAGCTCCTCATTTTACAGAGGAAACTGAGGCCAGAGAGGGGAAGGGCTGTGTCCCGGGTCCTCAGCATGGTGGAGGCCCATGAGGAGAATTCCAAGCTCCCCTAACCTACATTCCAAGGAGCCCCAGGACCCCCCACAAGGACAGGGTCTAGGAGGGCTGATTGAGGCCAAGGATGCGCCCAGGAAAAGGCAGTTCCATTTGTATCACAATCTGGCATATTTAAGGGGCGGAGCCTGGGCTCACCAGGTCAGGCAAGTGCTTCTGAAGTTCCCAGACCTACTTTCAGGATGCTTCCAACTGCGCAGCCTTGCAAGGACCCATTGCAGCCCTGGGGTCAGCCCCCGGAGGAGGAGGAGGGGGTGAATGGAGACCGGGTCTGGCCTGGGTTCAGCAAGAAGGAAGTTGCCCAGGTCTGCCCTCCCCCTCCCCCTGCTTTTGTTTGGACCCTGGAGCCTCAGCATCAACCTTCGATGGCTTCCTTACCCTCTGCGTTTTGGGGGGCCTGGGCGGGGAAAAGCAGCCCTCTGCCTCCATTAGCGGCCTGGCCTCCTGGCTTGGAAGGGAGGCTCCTGGTGAAGGAGCTGGGGCGGCACGAGGAGGTGGGAGGAAGGACTTATCTGAGCACAGGAAAAGAAAGCCGGACACTAGTGACAGCAGGTGGGAGAGGAGCCACAGAGGGTGGGCTGCCTTTTGGAAACAGAAAGGCCCAGACCCAGACAGGGGCAGAAGGGGTGGGGAGGGACCCCTCCCTCGACAGGGATGCCAGGACTGGGCTGGGAGTGTCCAGGCAGACACTTAAGAATCTGCTCTCAGAGTCCCACTGAGCATATGCAGATGAGGTCTGTCTGTATGCAAATGAGACCGTCTGTATGCAGATGAGGGAAGAGGGCATTCTCTTCTCAGGGTTACCATAGAGCCCATCCCTACCCCCTTCCCTCAGGGCCCCAGGTGCAGGGCAGCCTGCGAAGAGGCCAGGCCTGGGGAGGAGCAACCTGCAATAGAAGGTTAGACTTTGGGAAGAACTTACCAAAGGAAAATGGCCAGTCCTGTGAAATGAACTGTAGAGGAAATGAGGGATATAGAGGGGCTGCTGAGAGAGCCAGGCAAAAAAGATGGGGGTGGACTGTGAAAGAACATCTCAGTCACCCAGAAACGCAGGCAGACTGCAGAAAGCTTTGAAAGGGAGGCAGGAAAAAAAAGAATTTCGATTGAGTATGCACTTTGTGCCAGGTCCCACATGGAGTGTCTTCCACTGTCTCACTATTCCCGGTGATAACCCTGTGAGGCCTTTCACAGATGAGGCCCAGACAGACTGACAGGTCCAGGTCACGCAGTTTGCAAATGGCAGGGCCCTGGGCTGTCTGACTCCATGGCAGGCAGCCACGGCTTAGGATCTCCTTACTCCTCCCTTCTGGTAAGCCGCTCCTCCTAACCTGAGGGGAACTGAAGGGCCTTAGGGGTTGGGAGGCTGTGCCTGAGTGAGGAGTGCTGCTGCCCGCTGAGGGGAGGTCTGGCTGGGTCTCAGGCCCAGAGAGGGCCTGCCGAGGGCTGGGAACTGGCGGTGGAAGGTAGGGTGTGGCTGTGAGGGTAGCTGAGTGGGCAGAAGCCGGGAGGGGGACATCAGGGCTGGGAAGGACGCCAGGGATAATACGGTGGGGGAAACTGAGGCCCACAGGGATTGGGAGGATTGCCCTCCTCACTCAGCAGATCCAGGTCCAAGCTGGGCCTGAACCCAAGGCACTGCGGCCCCAGCCCAGGGCCCCTTTCTGGGAATGCAGAGGCTGGGAGTCGGGGCGTCTTGGAGAATAGCCTCTCCTCTTCCTTCGGTGGCCCCTGGTCCCCCACATCCCATGGTGTAGCCAAGGCCTTTGTGGGGAAGCCGTGGGGAAGAGAGGCCCCTTGTTGGCCCATTCATTTTGCTGGAGGCTCGGCCAATGCCAGCCCAGGCACCGGCTGGGCTCTCCTTCCTGGGGGTGCCAGCCGGCCCCCACCCACTGCCACTGCCCGCTCCGCTCCCCAGCTCTGGCGTTTCCTGGAGCCTCAGGGCTTTGGCCCTGGTCCCGGCTGAAGGATGGCGGGGAGCCCCAGCCCCCGCGTCCCCCGCACCTCGCCTTTCACACGCTGGCACCAGAGCCGTGGGAACGCTGGACGGCAGCTGGGCACCGGTGCCCGGCTCTGCCCACCCCCAGCCCGGCCGACCTCAGAGAGGGGAGAGGAACAGGCTGCCCCAAAAAAAGCCCCCTCCGGGATGGGGCCCTAGAAATCCTTAGCACTAATTATGAATCTGGGGACAAACAAGGCATTTGCAAGTCAATTAGTGACAGAACTTTCCCAGGAAAGAGCTTCATCCAGGCTCAGCTTCAGACAGGGCCACATGCTGGGTCATCTTGTCCCTCCCCCTGCCTCTGCCCTGCTCAGAGCTCAGGGACAGAGGCCGCCCAATGTTCTGCCAGTCCCTACGTGGCGGAGGGTCTCAGAGCCCTGATGGGCAACGAGGGGCGGGAGGGCAAGGCTGCACTCTGCTGAGGTCAGCTGGAGGTCACTATAGCGCTGCCACCAGGAGACGTCCCGTCAGGGCCCTGGCCTCAGTTCCACCTGTGACAGAACCTGGCTGCTCCTGGATGGAATTGCCAAGGAGACAGCTGGCCCGGACAGGGTGGCATGGATGGGTTGACAGGAAAATAGAAGTCATTGTGAAAGGGTCGGGGGGGAGATGCTACCCGGAGGACACAAAGAAACCAGGACAAGAGGAGACCAAGGCAGAGACGAGTGGTCCCAGGCATCTCAGCTCGTGCCCAGGCAGGAGGCACATAATCCGAGGGGGCGCAGCCACACACATGGGGACGTCAGGCGGAGTAGCCGGCCATCTGGGGCCACTTCCCGTAGAGAGGGCGACAGAGCCCGTGAGGCGGCCGCTCCCAGGCGGAGAGGCCTTTAGCTGGGAGAGGGGCTCTCTGCTGAGAGGACCCCTTAATTGGGGGAAGAGAGTGAGGGAAGGGGCTATTTGGGGCAAAAGCCCTAGAGCCAGCCTCGCCATCTGAGGGAGATTAAGGGATTATAATTAAAATGCGTTTGAGGGACTCCAAGCAGGTGGGTTGGGGCTGGTGCTAACGATCTAATTGCTGCCTTTAGCCAGGGCTTTCGCCAGGGCCTGGCTGCTGGGGCTCGGTAATGAGTGGGGGTGGGTTCCTTTTAAAGAAGGGTGGGTGAGAAGAGGCGGAGTTGAGGGGCCAGGAGGGGCAGTCTTTCCACTGTGAACACCTCAGCTCACAGGGTCCTGTGCCCCGGCGAGGCTCCCCCTACTGCCCTCCCTGAGAAACCAAGGGGAAGGCTGCAGTTCAGTGGAGTTCTGGGAGCCTGGAGAAGAATCTGGGGGGCCAGGAGTGAGCAAGGAGGATACTTACGTTCCCACAGAGAGAGGACATTGAGACGGGGATGGTTAGGGTGTCCTGGGAACAGTTACAACGCCAACACGAACTGCAAACGTACTCTGTGTCGAGCATTGTACAAAACACTCTATAAACTGATTTCACCCTCACAACCATGGTAAAGTAGGTCTCCCCCTCGGGACTAGGGCTGGGCCCAGCCCCCTGGCTAAGCAGACGCCAGGGGTCCCACTGGCCAGGGGTGGCTCCTTTCTAGGAAGGGACGGATGAACAAACCCTCTGTAGACTCTGAGAGACCTCAGGCTGAGGGGCAAGAGCATGCCGATTGTAGCCCAAAGACCCCGGACTCTGGGAGTCCAGCCTGACCGAGGTGGTGCAGACCCCCTCCTGCCTCGCATGCAGAAGGCACACTAGGGAACTGGACACACATCAGGTGTCACACCGCTAAGCCTTTGCATATGCTGTTCCCTCTCCTTGGAAGGCCATCCCTTCTGCTCCGTTTCTGCCCTTCTGAGAGATCTTCCTCTCCCCTGCAACCCCTAGATCCCCTAAGGGGTAAGGGTTCTCTCTGGCTGCCTGGAGCCTGGCTGAGAAGGTGCTTACCACGCATTTAGGAAACAGATGAATGGCCTGGTGAGGGGCCGGTGTTTACTTTTATAACTAAATGTCTGAGCAGCTCTGGGAGGATACAGGGGAGACCAGAAACATTAGTTGCCTCTGGGATGGGAACTGGGTGGTGGAGACCCGGATGCAGGAGGGAAACTTTACTGTGTGGTACACCCTTTTGGGCCTCTAAAGTTTTATGCCCTTAAAGTGAAGAAATTCCTGGGGACCTCCCTGGTGGTCTGTGGTTAAGACTCCTCGCTTCTGCTGCAGGGGGCATGGCTTCGATCCCTGGTCAGGGAACTTAAATCCCATATGCCACATGGCCAAATAAGTTATTATTATTTTTTTGGCTGCGTTGGGTCTTTGCTGAGCGAGCTTTCTCTGTTTGCCGCAAGGGGGGTGCTACTCTTCGTTGCGGTGCGCGGGCTTCTCATGGCGGTGGCTTCTCCTGTTGCAGAGCACAGGCTCTAGAGCACAGGCTCAGTAGCTGTGGTGCACAGGCTTAGTTGCCCCGCGGCATGTGGGATCTTCCTGGAGCAGGGCTCAAACCCATGTCCCCTGCGTTGGCAGGCGTATTCTTAACCACTGTGCCACCAGGGAAGCCTCAAATAAATAAATATAATTAACATTTTTGTTGTTGTTGTTTGTTTTGTTTGGTTTGGTTTTTTTTGCGGTACGCGGGCCTCTCACTCTTGTGGCCCCTCCCGTTGCGGAGCACAGGCTCCGGATGCACAGGCTCAGCGGCCATGGCTCACGGGCCCAGCCACTCCGCGGCATGTGGGATCTTCCCAGACCGGGGCACGAACCCATGTGCCCTGCATTGGCAGGCGGACTCTCAACCACTGTGCCACCAGGGAAGCCTCAAATAAATAAATAAATAAAATTAATATTTTAAAAAGTGAAGAAATTATTATTCAGAAATAAATCTAATTTAAAATAATAATTACTGCATCTTTTTTGAAAGCTTGGGAAGGACAGTGTTTAACCCCAAAGGCCAGAGCATAAGAGAACCCCTGAGACTCCTCACTGGGGAGGAAACAGTGCAATTTCAGTTCCTTCCCTCCACCTTCCCCTTCTCTCACCCTGCTCCTGCCTCCTCCCAGGGCCTGGTCCCTGTGCCCCACACTCCGCCAGGTCCTCTAAGAGCATTTCAGTGTTGGCCCAGGGAGCAGAAGCGCCCCCTCCCTATTGGGTGGGCATTGCGGGCAGAGCCCCTGGATTCTCACTAGCCCTGCACAGGGCAAGTCACTGAAGCTCCCCAAGCCAGCAGCTGCCCCTGTGAACACACAGTGACGGCCTGGCTGCTCTCCCCTGCAGAGGTCTGAGGGCGGCTGCCCGCCCTCCTCTGTACATGCCCGAGGGAGACTTGCTGCCCAGCCCCAGCCATGGGCCCTGTTATCTCCTGTGTGCTCTCTCCCAGGCCACCTCCTGTCTCTGCGCCTCCTTGTCCCATCTGGGGCATGGGTGTATCCCTGCCCTTCCTCCCCCTGTATGGCTGAGCTGAGGATAAAGGAGCTCTGGGCACCCAGTCTTAGCATTCTTATCTGAAAAATGGGGATACAAACAGCTATTTGCCAGAGCTGTTGGGGGGATTAAATGAGATAATGTATGTAAAGTGCTTGGCGCGGCGGGGCACGAAGTGGGGGCTCATAAATGGTGGCTGTTATTATAGTTATTAAATGGGAGGGACCCTGCAAAATGTGCTAGCCTGGGGAAGGGACTCATCATTATTGCTCTGGCTGGGAATAATGAGGCCTTGTGGTAATAGCCCCTCGCACTCCCAGGCCCCTCTGACAAAAGGACGCAGCGGCTGCGGACGGGCCCGACAAAGTGAGAAGTGAATGGTACATAATGGGACACTTAGGGGCTTAGCCCAGGCTGGGGGGCGCTGGGAAGGACCCTCCGGCTGTGGCTCCAGGTGCTGAAGGACCCCACAGGCCGGAAACCCAAGCCGATGGGCCGCCCTTTCTTTGCTTCAAGGCGGCTTGGCCAAGAGCCTTCAGCCGCAAACCCAGGTCACCCGGGCCTTCGCTAATAATGGACAAAGCGCCCCTAAGTGCCAGGTGCCGCTCTGTGTGCCAGGGCACCAGCCCGCACCAACAGACCCCAGGACCTCAGGCCGTGCGAGGCTACTGTGGGAGACCAACATGAATCCAAGCAAATACTCAAAATAGGTAGAGATGCTGATGAGTGATCTGAAGAAAAATAGGAAGGGAAAGGGGACATAAGGGCTGGAGTTGGGGTGGTGAATTCAACTTAAAATAAGGTGCTTCCGGAAGGCCAGGTTTTGTCCAAACTTTTCTTGTGGAAGATGTTAAATAGATGCAAAAATAGACTAATCTAACGAACCCCCATCTACCCCTCATCCAGCTTCAACAACGGCCGGTCGTTCCATCTGCACCTCCACCTACTCTCCCCCACCTCCCGTGTCACTTTTCAGGAAACTCCAGACTTCTCCTTTCATGGAGGATGTGATTTGAGCAAAGACCAAAGGAGATGAGGAAGCCAGCCACGTGGTCATTAGGGAGGTGAGCATTCCAGGCAGAGGGAGCAGGTGCAAAAGCCCTGTGCCTAGGATGGGAAGATCAGGCTCTAATCTCAGTTTTGCCTCTACTGGCTGTGTAAGCTCACATGAGTCCCTTCACTGCTCCGAAACTCAGTTTTGTCATCTGTGAAATGAGGCTGATGCCCTCACCCTGCAGGGAGTTTGTAGAGGTGGAATGAGAATCTCTGCGAGTGTTTTATACAGTAGAGCAACACGCCAGGATCAAGGTCTACTCTCAGAAACTCAGTGTCTTGGTGGAGGTGAGGCAAGGCCCCAGGGTACCCAAGACTAGGTAGGGGTTGGGAAGGGGGTCTGGGGGTGGTTTCCTGCAGAAGGTTACCCCCAAACTTAGTGTAGCAGACTACGGTGATGGGGAGGGGGCTTGAGCTCAGAGCCAGGCCATGTCTGCTGGCCTCCCCCTCACCCCCACCCCCATGGATGGGCCACAGGATCCCAGGCTGCTGGAAACAAGAGAAGGGCCAAAGGCCTGAATGGCCAACTGTTCTCTGAGGAGGCTTGACCCCCTCTAAAGACCCTTATCACCACATCCACCTCCCTCCCAGGGTGATTATCACCCAGAGGGGCCTTTCCTGGGGGACACAAAGAGACCCTCCACTCCCATCCTCTAGGCAGGATAATGGGCCATTCACACTGAGGGGACCCCAGCCCCACACCTGGCCCTCTCAGGCAGCCCCCGACAGCCCCATTGTCCCAGGCCCGCCTTGCACACGGGTGTCAGTGGCAGGGAAGCCCTAGCCCCCAGCTGGAGCGCTCCTCGACTTCCCCCACCTCCCCAGCCGCCTGGACTCTGGGCTCGATCTCGGGGGGGGGGGGGTGGGCCCACCATTCATCCCACACCCGCTCACTCGGAATTTCACTCCTCTCGAAAGTCCTTACAGAGCGATGGGAAAATGGGAGGGAATAATTAGGAAAATCATTAACGTCTCAAGGCCCATCTGAGAGGGATTAAGGGATTAAAAGGCTTCCAACCAATCTCTCCTACTTTAAGGTTGTTGGAGGGGTTTTGTTTCCAGGACTTCTTTTTCCTCTTCTCTTTTCCTGGATTGGGGGACACTAGAGTCTTGGTGGATCCTTCCTTCAAAAGCTGCAGGAAAGGGTCAAGACAGTAAAATCCGCATGGAGAAGAATGGGGAAGAGCAGGTGTATGGGGGAGGGTGCCTTCCCAAGCTCTCCTGAGCCGCCTTGGGCCGCCTCTCCAGACATGGGTGGAGAGGGAGGGGTGCAGCGGCCAGGCTGGGCCGGAGGGGAAGCCCAGACAGGCCTGCTGAGAGCGGACCGGCTCCCTCGGAAGGCCCCTGAGAGGCCCAGCCCTGCACGCCAGGCCACATACACCTCCTCCGAGTCCTGGCTGACTGGGTCCAACCGAGGCAAAATGGGCCAGAGGCTCCGTGCCACACATCCTGCTCTGGAAGGCCAAGGCTGGAGGTCAGAGAGGAGGGAGCGGGGCCAGAAGGCTGAATCAACAAAGACTTTTACTGTTTGCAGTAAGCAACATGCAGCCGCTGTCCTTGAGCAAGGCGTGGTCCAGTGGGGGTGAGCAGGTAAAAATGAATAGCTCGTTACAACACACTGCGAGGCTGGCTGAAGCGTGAAAGGGGGTGAGGGGGTCTACAGAGGAGGCAGACCTCAGCCAGTCTGGAGGGATTTGGGACAGTGCCCTGGAAGGGTGATTTATTTATGAGAGGATCCCTAAGGCCTGGCACCTGGTAGGTACCCACAAACTGTGAGGTAAGTGCTCCACTCAGATGCATCACCCCCTTTTATATGGAGGGTCTCACTGAAATGGTCCCCCTCACCTGGCTCAAGGCAGAGCCGGTATTTGGGTTGCTGGAGAGCAGAGGGGCACGTTAGGGGATGGCCCAAGCTCTCCCTAGAGTCTTCATGAGCTCCATCCTGACACAGCCCCGAACATTCTGGGGAAGAAAGATACTGGCAGCACGTGGCTCACACAGTGCCCCCCCCAACCAACACACACACTCACGGTTCCAGTTTGGGGGCACCCTGGAGTGAAGGCGGCCCCTCCATTTCTCTGGAAGCCTCAGTTAAACCCCCTCTGAACTTCTGTACCCACCAACCCTTGCCTCGAAGACCTGAAGCCTGGTGGGGCAACATGGAGGCAGGCGGGAGCCATCCTGAGCCAGCACCTCGCCAGTGGTGCGGGTGATAGATGCCGGCGGCTACAGCCCTCTGCAGCATTAATAACCACGTTTAAAAATGGTCTTAATTAGCAACTGCCAACAAGAAGCCCGGTACTAATTCCACCAATAATCGAGGCTTGCGGGGCGCGGACAGGAATGCTAGTGAGGGGATGGATGGCTTGCAGACCCTGTGCATAGCTTGCAGATACCGTGCAGCTGTAGGGTCCAGCAGAGGCCAGCTGAGTGGCTGGAGGGCTGGGAAGAAGGGGGACACTGCCCCCACCGGCTCCCACACCAGGGCTCCTTGACCCCCCACGGCGTAGCCTCCTCAGATGGTGTTGGGACAAAATGAAGCGTGAGGAATTGCAGGGAGGAGGGGAGATCTCTGTCTGCGCCGTCAGAGCCAGAACCCAGACAGCAGCCTGTGGGATGAAGGCGCGCCTGTAAAAGCCCAAGTGAAATGAGCTAGAAGGGGATTGGGAACAAGCCCCGCAGTGTCCCGGAGCCACATTCCTCACTCTGGGGAGACGGAGATGGATGGTGCTGAGCTGGGGAGGAGGGGACACTAGGGTGGGGGGGGCATCTTCTCCAGCTGAGGGCTCCCCTGCCAAGACGAGCAGGGTGGGAAAAGCGAACTTAAGAATCCAGCCGATGCCCCAGCACAACAAAGCCCACTTCCTCTCTCAGCCTCAGAGCCAGGATGGGTCTGCTTGGGTCCTGCCCAGGGACCTTCCAAAGACCATCCAGAGCAGGCCCAGAGAGCTCCAGAAATCCAGGCCAGAGAGAGAGAGAGGGCCCCCTTCAGAGCAGGCATCTCTGGTCCAACCTCTTCTGGGGACAACCTGCAAATGTCCTGGAAGAGAAGAGGGAGGGTCATGGGAGGAAGGATGTGTTCTGGGGCTCAGGCGGGTGGAGCCTCTAGCCATGTGTGGAGACGTGCAGGGACCTGGGTTTGGCTTCTTTCAGATGTGGCTTTTGGGGTCCCCGGAGGAGTTTCCATGAGGCTGGGCAGCCCCAGGTCAGAATGTTTTGGAGGGTTCCAGGTTGGAGCAGAGACGCAGTGAGGAGTTGGAGGGGGGCCCACTTCCAAAGGTGGGGAGTGGGGGTGGACAGGACTCTGGCTACTTCCCTGGCACCATAAAATGCCTCAGCTCCCAGCCCACATCCCCTGACCCCAACTTTCCTCTTATCTGTCTCCCAAATGCTATCCCAGGAGGCCAGGCTCCACTGCCCGCACTGCACCTCCACCTCCCCAGAATGGAGTTGCCACGCATGTTGTACCTGGATCTCGTCACAGAGGCCAGGAGGACAGAAGGAAGTGCTCCGTCTTAGTGAAAGCCTGGGCCAAACCAGAAATGAGCAGGCCTCTGAGGCAGCACTAGAAGCCCTGCTTCCCGGAAGACTGCCTGCCCTACCAGCGTCTCCTCCCTCCTCTCCCCATTCAACCCTCTCCTGCCTTACTGGAACTGAAAACCTGGACTTCCTGGGACAGTTCTCATTTTGATGTTGCCCCGATTGATTTTGCCCCGAAAACCTTATGAGCCTCAGAAGCATCACTGTTTCAAGGGCCCAGGCACCATCTCTGAAATAGCTCCCACCTGAGTGGCATCAGCCCTTGCTCATGAGCCTGTGGGGGAGTTTAGAAAAGGTGGAATCGGGTCCTGCACCTTGCAGAGTCGAAAGCCCAGTTACTGGAGCTCAGCCTGTAAGCACCCAAGAGCAGAGGCCAAGTTCCCAGCTAGAATGGACTCTGCTTCCCGCATAGGGTCCCTTGCCTACTATCCAGTGTTGGGCCAATACCACCTGTTAGATGGGCACAAGCTCCTGGGCTGGGGGTAGAGGGATGCACCTTTCACTTGTGGGAGGGGACTTTCTGTGGCAAACCACTCCCCCGCACCTCTACATCACTGGAGAAGTTTCTTTCAGTCCTGCATGGCTAGGGCTTCTCCCAGTAAACGGTGGGCCTTCTTAACTGGTGGTGGCAGCAGAAGGAAGCAGGAAGGAGGCCTGGACTGGGCCTGGGGCTCACGAGTCACAGAGGATCCCTCGGGGGCATCTCTGTCCAGTAACCTGCTTTGGGGAAACTATGAGTATTTCCCTCAAGGTTCTGGAAGGGAACTGGCTCCAGAGACACCTCTGGTCAATGTAATGTGAAAAAATGGATGGAGATGGAGAGGGCAGTTAACAGGTAAGGAGGATGGGAAGAGCATCACCTATAGGCTAGGTTTAACCTCCAAGAGACGAGGCTCAGAAATGAACTGATTTGTGTGAGTGGGGTGCCAAGTTGGGGGCCCACCAAGGTCTGACCCCAAAGTCAAGGCTCTTTGGGGAGAGGAGTAGGTATGGAGGGAACAGGTGACCACCCCTGCCTGGCCCCAAGGCGTGGTTTGGGTCGCCTTCTTCCTTCCTCCCCGGGCTGGCGAACTCCGATCGGCGATCAGACGGCGGCACGGAGACAATAGCGCTCTGTCCCGGGCGGGCGCTCCGGGAAGACAGCTCATCCCTATGCAGGGACGGCCTCCCCCACCCGGGCCTGGCCGCCAGCCCCTTTCAGGCGGTGGAAGCCGGGGCGGCGGCAGAGGGGGATTCTCACAGGCCGTTGGACATTTGCATAGCCCGCTCGCCCGCCCGGAGACATTGGCCCGCATTGTTCCCGGGCGGCGGCGGCAGCGCCGGCGGGCGCACGGGCCGGGGCGCGCGGGGCGGCGCGGAGGACCCGGCTGGGAGCGGGCGGGAGGACCAGACAAAGGAGACGGGGCGCGCAGAGCCGGGCGGGGGAGATCGTGACGGTGGGAGAGAAATATTGGGGTGAGGTGGGGCGGGGGACGCGGCTGCCGAGTTAGTCTGTCCCGGGACCGCCACCGACCCCCACTTCGGACACCCACGCCGTGTCTAATTCCTCCCTGAGCTGGGGCCACCATGCGCCGTGATTTGAATCCCAATAACGGGGCATCTCAGGCCTTCCCCAGGCTATGCAGGTTCAGGGCGCCAGGTCCTCCAGAGGTCAGAGGAGCAGCTCTAGCTCCCGGCCCGGCCCAGGGGGCTCTGGCCACACAGGCACAGAAGCACCCTGAGGCGCGTGGGGAACCTTGGACCTCCCAGCCAGATGTCTGGGCAGGAAGCTCTGTTGTCGCCCACACATACTTGTGCCAAGCCCGTACAGCTCCACCTCCAGAAACCCTTTCCTAATGCCTCTGGCTCTGCTGGCTTGACACTGACCCCAGCGCAGCCAACCTTCCCCATCAGTGGGGCCCTGGGAGGCGAGCAGGGGCCAAGTGTCCTCGTCCATCATTGTCCCCCGAGCTCAGGCACTGGGGCTGGACAGACGGAGTTCATGAGTGGGCAAGTGTCTGATTGTCCTGCATTGAGAGTGATAATGGCGGTGATCAGAGGGGCTGTCCCTGAGGGGCAGAGGCCTCATTGTCCTGAAGGGGTGAGGAAGGAGCTCCCTTTGCCCCTGTCCCCGCCATCTCCTTGACCTGTTCATTGTCACCCTGTCAACCCAGCCTGAATGGATGGGCCACCGTGTGGGGAACCAATGGTGCTGAGCCAGGGGCTACAGGAAAGATGGGGGAGGGGCTTAGCCTTGGTGAAGCAGAGAGGCTCCAAGGATACCTGCCTTCCCTGCCCTCTGAGCTCCCTGCCTGAAAGCAGTAATGGGACGATCACCCCCCAGACCCGAACCAGTAATGATGGCTCAGTCCATCATTTGGACCGAACAATCTATGGACTGCCCGCCAGGGTGCTAGGCATTGCAGGAAAAGCTGGGGGAGGGAGAGGAGGAAACGCAGAGGGAAAAACCAAGGGCCTGGTTTAGGAGAGTTCAGTCCAGGACAGAGTCCGCTGAGCCATGAAGCCAGGGTGCCGTATCTTGCAGTAGAGCTCAGGAGCGTCTCCCAGGCCATGGGAGGCTTTATGGGGGTGATGGAGCCTGAACTATCTGGTTAGGGGATATTCAGGGCCATCTCCTGTCAGGCAGCCATCACCCTTTCTCAGGGACCTCTTGGTGGGCCACCCTAGGAACTGTAGCCTTTCCTCCCTTAGAAGCTGGCTGGGTAATTGCCCTCTCCCAGGGAGGGTTCAGTTGTCACTTCTCCAGGAAGCCTCCCTGGATTGAGATGGTAGCAATGACCAGCCTAGGCTAGAGCAGCCCCTTTCTGTCAAGCCTGGAGGAGAGTTGGTTGTGGTCAAGAAAGAACCAGAGTAGAAGGAAAGGATCAAGTGGGAAAATGTTGGTGGTATGCGTAGTAAATGAATACTCGTAGCCTTTCCCACCCAGGATGAGCAAGGGCAGGGAGGGTCTTATCCTTAAGTCTCTCCTTCCTAGAAGTCTTTCAGATCTCTGTTTGAGGACTGCTCAGAGAGCTCAGGGGCAGAACAGGTCAGCTGGCTGTACCTGGATCCATGCAGAGGCAGAGCCATGGCTCTGCAGGGTGAAATGGGGGATGGGCCTCTGCTTGCCCAGACTCCCTCCCAGCAGGGGCTGACAGGACAGGGTACCTTTTTGCAATCTCAGCAGTCATCCTGCCTCAGCACAAGGATCTCCCTCCAACATACCTACCCCAGCCAGCAATGGTCAGGGGAGGCTGTGGAGGAAGGAGGGGAGCTCAAGGGGAGGGATATACCAAATATATTTGGGCCACATGGGCAGGCGTGGTCCCCATGGGGCACTTCTCTCTCAACCTCCCTCCTTGTTCCTCAGCTTTTCTTCAACTCTGTGCTTGACCTCTTTCCCCAGCCAGACTCAGTCCCTTCAGCTACAGTGAGGATGGAGCCTTGTGGGGGCACCTTTTGCCCCTGTCCCAGAACTAGGCCTCAGCAATCCCTCCTTGGGTTCCTACGTGTGCATGGGTTTTGGTTTTGAGAAAGAGGTCTCTAGTCATGCTCACTCCTGCCAGAAGGGAAGAGCAGGAGAGGGCAGAGGGGGGTCCCAGTACTTCAGGGCTGGGAAAGGAGCTCTGGTCTACTGGCAGGATGGATTCTCTGTTGAATGAGAGATCTGGAATGACATGTGGTGGGGACTGGGAGCTCAGAAAAGTCTTGTGGCATGAATAGTGAGGACCAGAGCTGAAGCAGACAGGGATGCCGTTAGGCTGTAGGAAGGACTTCCCATTCTTGGTAGAGGATGGAGGGGCAAGAAAGGCCGCATCTTCCTCTGCTGGGTCTGGAGCGCCCTCTGGTGATCAGATGGCTTCGGGCTGACGGAAGCCCCATTCTCTGCAGCAACTCATTTGCCCTTCCTAGTCCCCACTCCTCAGACTCGGGACAGGGACATAAGTTGGTGCCTGGGGGCTGGCTGCTTCCAGCTTCTGAGGAGTTAGTGGCAAAGAACTCCTTATGCCCCTCTTAGTCCCAGCAGGGGCCCTCTTCCTACTCTGTTCAGCGGCCACCCAAGTTGAGGGTCAGAGTGGCAGCCGTTCTGGAATAGGAAGAGCTCTCCAGGAGCCTGAGCTGTCTGTCCTATAACAAACACACACTTGCTGCAGGAGAATGAGCTTCCTGTCTCTGGAGGCAGGTAAGCCCAGTCTGGGCATCCACCTAGCAGAACACGGCATCCTAGGGCGAGTTCCATGGACCCAGGGAGGCAGGATATTGTCACCACTAAGGTCCTTTCTCACCCGAGGTTCCAAAACTGTGAGTTAGATGGTAGGAGGAGCCCCCCAAATTCCAAGTGCACAAAAAAAGGAGTGAGAGTCCTCGGTGACCGTGGTATTTATCACCCTCAGAGAGCCAGGCCCTGGCTCAGGCTTCACTGTAACAGAGTGATGCTGGTCCAGTGGATCAGCAGTCACTTGGGTGCCTCACTTGCAGGGCGTGGGGCGGTGGGGTGGGGCTGTGTGAGGCTCTCCCCTCACCACACTAGTTACAGCCCCTTCCCCAATGCTGCCTATGGTAAGGAGGCTCCTTCCGGCTCCTGTCTTCTTTCTTGCAGCAGAAGTGATGGGAACTAGAAAAGAAAAGCTTCCCAACGGTAGCCAGCCATCATATTCTAAAAGGAGACCGTCCTTTCAAGTCCTGGAAGCAAGTTAGGCCCGAGTCTCCAGTTCCTCTGCCCTCAGAGGTCCCTGGGCTAAATCCTCATGCTCCCCAGGCACCTGAAGGGCAAGGATGGAGGAGCAGGTAAAGGGGCTGGAGACCACAGCTCAGGGAGGGACCCCAGAGGAGAAGAGACAAGCGAGGAAGGAAAGAGGCACGTTGGATCAGAGGAGGTGCGGCAGGGAAGGGAAGGTTGGAGGGTGAGAGAGCCCCATGGGCCTGAGGGGCTGCAACCACATCTCACCTCCCAGTAAACCTGGTCCTCGTAGCACTGGGAGTCTGGCGGGGAGTCCAAGAAGGGCAGCCGCAGCAGGAGCCCTGGTGGCAGTAGGGGATCATGTGTGAGGCTTTTTGCCAACCCCATGGGGGAGACTGCCACTCAATACCACCGGGCACAGAGGAGCCAGGAGGCATGAGGTCAACGCGATGCCCAGCACAGGCATATCACAGTGGTATTTATCGAGCACCGACTTTTGCTAGGCCCTATGCAAAGTGCTTGAGGTGCATTGCCCTCCTTAAGCAACCACAGCAACCCTGCAAGGTGAATATGATCCCTCTGTTACAGAGAAGGGGGCCAAGGCTTACAGAAGTTAAATAACTTATTCAAGTTGGCACAGTTGGGAACGGACCAAACAGTGAGTCTGTCATGAACCACAGCTCATAAGCCTTCTGTGGCCGCCTATCCAGGAGGGGTGCAGGAAGTGTTTATTGAGTAAGTAAGTAATTAAATGAATGAATGAGCTGAACCTTGTTTGAGAATGAAAATCTCAGGGTGGGAGCAGGAGGGTGGGGATACTCAATCAGACGTTTTCTTCTGAAGGCCAAAAGGACTAAGGCCAGATATCAGGAAGGACTGCCTGACCTGGCGTCAGTGGGCAGGCTGCCTCTGTGGAAGGTTTTTGTGCTCCAGTCTAGTGATGAGACAGGCAGGGCTCTTCCCTCCCTGCCCCTAGCCCTACTCGCTTCAGGGCCTCAGCCTGAGGTTGGGCTGCCCTCTAGTGGGAAGAGGGAGCAGCACAGGGAAGCCACAGAGGAGAGGGATCTGTCAGCCTCTAGCAGGCTTCCCATCTTCCCTTGGCATCGGAAGGGAGCAAGTACCCACTTTGTCCTACTTATCTGGAGGAAGTTACCCCTTAAATGTACAACCCCACCCTGCACCTGGCACAAAGTAGGCGCTCAACAGATACCTGTGAGTAAATGAATGGCAGGGGAATGGGATGAAATGGCCCTTCCTCCAGAGAAACCCCCTCCTCTGTCTTCTGCCCTCCCTGGAGCTCCTCACAACGCCCCTCCCCCCCTCCCACCAGGCCAAGGTCACTCACCTCCGAGGCTCCCACCCACAGAGGCAAATATCAGTGTGACAAACAGTCCGAAGAGCTGGTGCATGGCCTGAGACGTCGCGCTGCGCTGGCCCTTGGCTAGGAGTGGAAACACGCTCTCTAGGCTGCAGGGAGGGGAGAGTGGGGGGAGACAGGGATGGAGCATGGAGCCAGGGCTGGTCAGTGCATCAGTGCACTGCACCGCTTCCTGCAGCGGCCAAAAGGGCCTCAAGGGAGCTGCCAGGCTGAGTCACCTCCGGGCCTTTGCTCCAGTCAGGCCCATAGCCTGGAACACCCTCCCACCTCCCCTGTGCCAGCAACACCCTCACACCTTTCAAGGCTCACTTTGAGGGTCACTTTTGCCTGCCCTCTTTTCTGAGCCCTGATGTGCAAAAATCTATCCTAAGGGTCAGTATCTCTTACCTGACCCTTTAGTAATAACACTATTGAAATCATTTGTTCAATAACCTTCTGCTGCACTTGAGTGAGGACCAAGAAGGCAGTCCCCAGTCTTGTTCACTCCAGTTTCTTCAGCTCCCAGGAGGTAGAGCAATGAATGAATGAATGAAAGAAAATAGACAGCTTTTTCTTGTTGGTCCACAATAGGAGGAAGAGAGTGAGGGACTTAGTTCAAGGGGGATAACGATTCCACTGGGGATGGGGGGTGAGGGTGGGGAGAACTCACCCATCTCCGTAAGCTTCATGGGTGGCCAGCCCAGCCACAAGGACCCCCAAGAGCGCTCCCAGGACCCCAGGCATCCCGTGGAGGTTGTGGACACCGCACGTGTCTTGGACTTTGAGTTTTGACTCAAGGGTGGGCTGGAGAACAGGACAACAATAATGAGTCTCGTGTGCACTCCGAAGACCCCCTCTTCTGCCCAGGGCCCAAGAGGCATCTGTACCGTGAAGAACTTGTACCCCAGTGTGGAGACGGTCCCAGCCAGGAAGCCAGCTACCAGAGCCCCAAAGGGTGTCAGCATCATTTCAGCCGATGTCCCCACCACAACCCCTCCGGCCAGTGCGGCATTCTGGATGTGGACCTAAGGGAGCACAGAAGAACAAGGCGTTGGAGGCCCTTTCAGATCGTCACACCCACACCCAACCCAACCCCGCCCACCACAGTGGCACCTACTGCTTCTGAAGTCCCCCCACCATCTAACCCTCTAACTCTCCTGCTATCCTGTCATCACCTCATGCTCTGACCCAACGCCTCCAGTGCAGATGGAGCCCCCTATGCCTGTGCCGTTACCTGTTCCCCTGGAGAATCCTCCTTGCAGGGTCTCCGATCTCTCCCCCGCCTCCCGGTCCCTCCCTCTGCCTCTCCCAAGCCTCTCCCCCATACCATGTCCAGCCGCCCATCCCTCCCGACAAGGGCTGACAAGGCGAAGGTGCTGAGGGTGCTGGCAGTCAAGGAGTAGTACGTGTTGAGAGCCGACCGATGCTGCCCATCCCCCAGCGCAGTGGGTGCAGAGTTGAAACTAGGCCAGAAGATCCATAGGAAGATGGTCCCTAAATGGTGGGCAGGCAGGCAGAATGCGAGGAAGGAGGTGACTCCCCCACAAGGCACAAGCTGTGTAACTGCACTCAAGTCACCTACCCTCAGCAGCCTCAGTTTTCTCATCTGTGAAGTGGGGATAGTGATACCCACTTTATAAAGTGAGGACTAAATGAGGTGATACATCCCAAGTGCATAGCGCATGGCCTAGCCAGTACTAAATGTTCAACAAATGGTAGCTATCGCAGGGTACTGGCACAGAAGGGAGCTCCTTGATTGAAAACCACAGGGGGTTGAGATTTTTTTTTTTTTTTTTGTGGTACGCGGGCCTCTCACTGCCGTGGCCTCTCCCGTTGCGGAGCACAGGCTCCGGAAGTGCAGGCTCAGCGGCCATGGCTCACGGGCCCAGCTGCTCCGCGGCATGTGGGATCTTCCCGGACCAGGGCACGAACCCGTGTCCCCTGCATCGGCAGGCGGACTCTCAACCACTGCGCCACCAGGGAAGCCCGAGATTTTTTAAGTATCAGAAAAGGAAAGAAAAAAAAGGCAAAGGGCACCACATGTCAGGCACTAATCTGGTACTTGATATACATAAGAGGAAAATCACTTGTTTTATAACCTCAACTGCCCCCTGGAGAGGGTGGGCCCTGCCATGAGCACCGATGGGCTGGGCCTGCGCATCTGGGGTAAGGACATATGCCCTGCCTGCGGGTCCCAGGTCAGTCCTGGAGGGAGAGGGGGAGGGGCCAAGGGCAGGTGAAGGGGAGCTGGGGACCCGGTAGGGTAGGGTCAGCAGAGCAAAGAGGCTTGAGAGACTGCCCCTTAGTCCTGAGTGGTCCTTGGGTTGCGATGTAACTTCTGCACCTCCACAGTCTGATTAAAATCTACCACACATACACATGCATCTTCTGAGAAGAGTTTTGGGAGGAATCGAGGAAGAGGCCAGTTTTCCTGTCTGGAAGAAGCTGGGAGGCAGAGGAGATCTGAGAATGTAAGCCTCGCAGGAAAGCACAGACATCTTGGGGAAGCCTTTGGACTTCAAGCTAAACTTATCTGAGTCTCAAAGGGCAAGGAGGCCTCAGCTGACCTAGGATTCCACATGCTCTATTTCACAACAAACCCAGAGGTGAGCAAGAAATACAAAACCAGTCTCTTTTTAATGTAAGAACGGGCACTTCGGTCACTACTCAATACTACCCTCAAAAACATAAAATAAGGCTTCCCTGGTGGCGCAGTGGTTGAGAGTCCGCCTGCCGATGCAGGGGACACGGGTTCGTGCCCCGGTCCGGGAAGATCCCACATGCCGCGGAGCGGCTGGGCCCGTGAGCCATGGCCGCTGGGCCTGCGCGTCTGGTGCCTGTGCTCCACAACGGGAGAGGCCCGCGTACCGCAAAAAAAACCCCCATAAAATATGGATTTCCTTTCCTGACTCATTAGTGAATAAAGAGAGAGGAGCAGAGGCCAAGGCAGAGGTATGCACTTAGGAGAAACAGGTGGTGATGATGGGGCTTGCAGGTCAGACCCTACTGCTCGCCGGCGTGACCTACGACCTCTCCTCCTCCCCCTTGAGAGTGCAGGGGCTTCCAGGAAATCCCCTGAGAGGACGTGACCTCAGGAGGGGGGACGCAGCCCCAGGGACAAAAGCCTGGAGGTTAGAGATGGGGAGAAGCTGAGTCTGGCTGGAGAGAGAGCGTGGGGAGAGTGAGTGGGGAGGGGGCAAGGGGGGGAGGAGTAGCCAAGATCCTGCAGGGGTGGGTGCACCAGGCTGAGGAGTCTGGTATCTAACTGTCGGTAGTGGGGACCCTGGAGGTCTTCAACAGAGACTGGTGCCCTCAGACTTCGATTGAGAAAGGCCCCTAGGATGGATCTCAGGGCATGTGCATACCCCAGTGCTGAGTTCTAAGAACCTGTCATAAAACTACTGAGAATGGTGAGCACGGATTCCCGGGGCTCTGGTGAAAGAATCCGAGTTGGAAGGGAGTTCCCAGCCAGAGCCCCAAGGATTCTAGGTGGCACCCCAAGACCAGGCCTGGAGATGAACCGGCCCCGTACCCACCACACCTCAGCAGGCCTCACCAATCATGGCAAAGAGGTCCGAATGGTAGACGGAACCCTGGCGATGCTTGCTCTTCTCCAGCTGGGGCCTATAGAGGACCCTGGAGAGGACCAGCCCGAAGTAGGCGCCAAAAGCGTGAATAGTCATGGAGCCTCCTGCATCCTTCACCTGGGGAGGTGGAGCTGAGGTGGAGGGGCAGCCCCTCGCCCCTGCCCCTACCCCACGCCCTCCCTGCTCAGGGCCTGGCCCTGGCCACTCCCACTCCTCACCCCATCCCCATCCAGACTCACCCTGAGGAGACTAAGGAGCACAAACTCGTTGAGGCCAAACAGCACCACCTCCAGCAGGGCCATGAGCAGAAGCTGAGCCGGCCCAGTCTTGCCCAGTATGGCACCAAAGGAGATGAGCACAGCCCCAGCGCAGAAGTCAGCATTGATCATGCTGGGGGGTTGGGATGGGGAGGGTGAGAGGGGGCTGGAAGCGAGGGCAGCCCTGGGGGGTGGGGGGAGGGGAGGAGGCAATGAGCCTATCCACCTAAGCTCTTCCCTGGTAGGCAGGAAGGTATCACCTCGCCTTTTTTGTGGATGCGGAAACAGAGTCTCAGGGAGGTTCTGGGCCTTAGCAAACAAAGCCCACAACAGGTGGAAGAACCAGATCTTGAATCAAGAGCTCCTCTGAACCCTGCCCTTTTCCATGACACTATCTATCCTCCCAACATCTCTTGGGTAATAAGGGGCCTAAAGAAATGGGGAGGTGGGGCTCGAGGATGGGAGAAGATATCAAGCAACAGAATAGGCAGGGCACCTAAAAGAAATCAACGGATGGGTCAAAAACCTGGGTCAGGGAGCAGACTTGAGGGACTGGGTTTGAGCTGGGTCCCTTGGACAGGGGCCTCCCAGGTAGACCTCAGGGGAGCCAGGGTGGCCGCCACTGCCCACCTCTCTACGCCTACATAGATGTGGCCATGGTGGAAGGAGTGGAAGAACCCCTGGACGAGTGTGGACCACTGCAGGGCAAAGGCGGCCGAGAGGAAGGTGAAGCCCACGCTGCTGAAGCCGTAGCGCTGCAGGAAGACCATGAGGAAGCCGAAGCCCACGAAGATCATGGTGTGTACATCCTGGAAGCCTGCAGGGTGGAGGGGGCATTCAGGGCTGCTCAGGCTGCCACCCATCCACCAATCAGCCATCCTGCCAGCGCCCCCAGCTCTCACAAGCCAGGGCCGCCCTGAGGCTGGAGCCGAGCCTATAAAACTCCCTGGACATGGCCGGCCTCCCAGCCCGGATCCCCCATGCAGAGCTGGCCAGCTTGGAGCAGTGGGACCCAGACCATCCCTGCTGTCGCCAGGTCAGAGCAAGAGAGTAGAGCCTTCCGCTCTCTTCTCTGCCCCACTCATTTGCCCTATCCCTGGGTTGCTTACAACCAGTGAAAAGTCCAACATTTCCTGTGTTCTTTCCTGGCACAGTCCCTGCCCTCTGTGCTGGAAATTCTCTTCCCCTGCCGGGTTTTCTTAAATTTTCCCTTTCTGTCGGAAGTCCTTCTTGATGTCTACCCTCCATTCCTCATACTTCAGAATCTATACCTCTCCATTTTCAGGATTTTAAATTTTATAAATTAATTTACAAAAATAACTTTAAATTGTTAACAGAGATTATCTCAGAGAAAAGAAATTAAAGGGAGGGGGCAGGGCTGCTGAGCTGTACAACTCTGGAGCAAATAATGCCCCCTGGAGGTGTGCAATATGGCCACTCCGGGAAGGAGGATTTTACCCTATAGTTTGTTTCTTTCTATACTTTGAATGTTTTAATTTTATAGATGAATCACTTGAATTTTTTTAAGTGTCGGTGGGGTTTCTGGGCAGGGAGATTTGGGGTCTTTTCTGTTTGCTTTCTATTCTGTGTAAAAAGATCTAAAATAATAAACAGTAATAGTGAAAATGAGATATATACAACAATTTGCTTTTGTATTAGTTTGTTCTGTACCCCTCCCCCCATCTACTTGTAAATAGGGTTTGAAACACAACCTACTGTGATGTTCAGCCAGTGCATCTAGTCCTGTTTCCTTCGTCTTGGGTCTATGTATCCATAATGCTATGCTATCTTTGGCTTTAATTGAGAAATACTAGAGAAACACTTGAGTGCATTATTGCATTTGTTGTAAATAACTTACTGAGAAACAGGGTCAACCACGACCATAAACTCTCCTTTCATAGCTCCATGTGAGAAATTTCTCCTGGAACTTAGTACTAGGAAATGTCATTTCCCCTGAGGAACCAGGAGCTGGTTTGCTTTCCCTCATTCATGTGATAGATGTTTACTAAGCAGTCATGCACCAGGCTCTGCGAATGTAGAGCTGTCGGTGGAGGACAGCCATCAAAGGATCAAAGAATCACATATGTGAGGCTTCCTTGGTTCTGATGAGAACACATAACTGACCATATTACCCCTTTTTCCTAGCTGCCTGGAAGCTCAGAGCTACAGGAATTTCAACTATAACAACTGTAGGCCTTCACAGTGTTCCTTATTTGTGTACTGCTTCTATACTTTTCTTATTCACGTTTTTGTTGTAAATGACCGCGTGTCTTGTAGAAAGAGGCAGATCACAAAGAAAGAAAATCACAATCACCTTTTTTGTTTAAAGGTGAAGGACCAACAAGCCAAAAATTTATTACTGAACTTTAGAATGTAATCAACAGCTTTGAGAGAAGCAAATTTTTCTGCTTGTGTGTGTGTGTGTGTGTGTGTGTGTGTGTGTGTGCTGTGTATGGGCTGATAGGAAATGAGTTTGCAAGCCCTTGGCAGAGGGTGGGGTGCATGTTGGAACTGGAGGTCTACAGCTCAGCTGCCAGCCCCAGTGGCCAAGTGGGTGAGGGTCTGGAGGTCCGCTGGCCTCACTAAATGTCTTCACCACTGTGCCACTTCTCCAGCCCAGCTCACTCCCCAAATCACCCAGATCTCTCTTCCCTCTCAGATCTTAAAACCCAACAGAAAAGGAGAGGTATCTTTTAGAACTCAGCCCGAAGCCTTAGTTCTTTTAGCCTCACGGCCTGACTTGTTTTCTCCTTGTGCAAACGGTAAAGGGGGTGCCAGGTCTGTCCTTTTGCCCAAGGATAACAAAGCAACAAAAGGGGCTGGGTCATGCCCATTTCATGCCGAAACCGCTCTAGAACTTGTCTTAAAAGGCAATAATATTTACATCTCCCACCCCGGGTTTGTTTGGAATCAAAACTCAATCCCTTGGTCTTTCACCTGGAGTCTAAACATCAAGAAATCTCCTTTACTCATTCCACTCTGTGGAACATTCCACACAGACATTCTCCATGGACTGTGGTGGGTAAGGGGCTATTCCAGCTGGAGGCAGGGGCATAGATGAGATGACCCCTCAACATTCCCTTCAGGGGATCCCTGGGTTGGGCAGGATGGAGCCTGTTTTCCATCACATCCCCACCCCCACCAAACCCATGCACCTTTGGTTGGAGAGAAGATAAAAGCCCTCCAGGGCCACCTATCACCCTCCCTCCTTCCCTTATTGCCCCTCCCCAACCGCACCAGATGACTCCTGAACAAGGTCAGACTGTGGGACAAGGGGACAGTTAAAGCTGGGGCTTTAGCATCTAACAGAGCTGGATTTAAATTCCAGCACCTCCCCCCTCCACTTCTCACCATGTGATCTTGGACAAGCCACTTAACCTCTCTAAGCCTCAGTTTCCTCATCTGTAAAGTGGGGATATAAAATGTGAGAAGCAGGAAAAAGGGAGTGGTAAGCTGGGGAGGCCATCTCCCCCCACCACTCCACCCCCACATGCCTTTAAGAGGGCAGATAGGGCTGTATTCTCCTAGAAAAGTCACAAACCACTCTGGTCCCAGTCACTTCCCCCTGCCCCCACCTCAAGAAAATCCTGATTCCATTTGTCCTAAATCCCTCTCCTTGCAAGTCAGGTCTCAGAGATATATAAAAAAGAACCTGTCCGTATTTTTTCTTAGAACCCTTTCTCATCTTTGCTTCTGTGTCCCCTGTATGCCTAGTCTTTTCCCCTAGTTTCTCCCCTTCTTTCTTTCTCTCTCTCTCTCTTTTTTTTTTTTATTGGAGTATAGTTGCTTTACATGTTGTATTAGTTTTCCCCCTTTCTTATTTTCCATTACTTGCCTCATAGGATAGAAGTTTGTAATGTGGGGGAAAGTCTGCAGATGGGGAGTCAAGAGACCCGGTTCTAGGCTGGCTAACTTGCTGTGTGATCTTGGGCAGTCACATGACCTCTCTGGCTCTCTCTCCACATCTGAGAGGAGTGGATCAGATGAGCTCTAAAGGCCCTTCCTATAGAGGTAACAGACAGATGCTCAGAGCAGCCACGCATTTGGCATTGGCTAGTCCCACAGCTAAACAACAGCGGCAAAACTCTCTTTCATCTCCCAAATCAAAGGGCAGTGGCTACACCACCCTCTGGCCCTGACCACTTCTCCAGGACACAGGGATAGGTGAAGACTTGGCTCATCAAAGCCCCACGCTCCAGGGACCTCACACCTCCCTCCTCCCCAACCCATCCCTGCACCAGGGTCCCAAGTCCACAGGGATAGAAACCTAGTGCAGAAAAAGAGGTAGGATTCCCACTGCTATTCCTCTTATTGCAATCCAGGGACAGAAAACTGCATCCAGGAGAGCCTACCATTGCAGCAGAGGGATGAGAGGTTGGGGGTTTCAGGGAGGACTGTGAAGCAAGTAGGGCTTGGAGGCCTTGAGGCCCATGGGAGAAGCAAATGGGGGTTCATGGCAGGCAGCCAGGTCAGACCCTAGGACAAGAGCTTACTTCTCTCAGCCTGTGGACTGTCCCTGCCCAACTTCCCATCTCTGTGGGCAAATGTATGACCCCAAGAGTCTGCCACCCCAGCTCTGTGGCTCTGGCTTTGATTCCAGCATCCATGGCTCACCTCATGCAGCCAGAACTGGGATGAAATGTGGGGCGGGAGGAGCTGTAGCCCTCCCTCGGCCTAGGATGGCCGGTATTCTGGCACTTTATGCCCAGGTCCAAGCCTCCACCTCACCCTCTCTATCCTCAGCATTGTGAGCTTCATTTTCTTGGGGTTGGGGCTGGGAGAGTGTCAGGTGGGGACACACTGCCACCAGCTCTGCATACAGAAAGTAGGGTAATAACAGCCTGGGATTTTTACAGGAGATTCTCACATTCTGGGCCTCATTTGAATGGATATCCTTCAAATGGAGGCATCTTTCTCCCCATTGCTCAGATGGGGAAAACTGAGGCTTAGAGACCTGGTCAAACATTTGTGATGAAGTCTGGGAGATCTGGTCCCAGCTGCCCAGGGCCTGAGTCACAAGGTTGGGTCCCCAATCTTGAGGGAGAGGCTCTGTCCACAACAGGGGGCAGGGGCTTAACCTTCTCCTTCCTGGGCCTTGTCAGCAGGCAGGTGAGCTGTGGTGCTAGGACCTGAGGATGGCTGAGTCCTAGTTCCAGCTCTGTCACTCACATGGTAGGTGATCATGAACAAATCACAACCCCTTTGAGCCTCAGCTTCCTCCTGGGTGAAATGGGCTAATGACCCTGCCTTCCCTCCTTCGCAGGGCTGGGGGGCTGCTACTCTGTGATTGGCTGGTGGATAGTTACATCATTTTCTCTCTGGCTCTGGAAGGACCAGCTTTGGGGGACTGGGGAAGAAATGTCTCAGTCCACTAGTCTTGGCTGCCTTCACAGCTAATACCATCACTGCCCCCTGCGCCCCACTCCCTACCTCCCCTGCCCAGATGATTTTTTCCCTGTGGTCAGGGTAAAGGCAAAGGCAGGAAAGGCAAAGTCTCTGAACAGCCCAGCAAAGCCCAACTAGGCCAACAAGAGAGTAGGTAAAGCTGGGGCTTCAGATCTGGGTTCGAATCCCAGCTCCCTCAATTCTGACAGCAAGACCCTGAACCAGCCACCTAACCTCTCTGAGCCTCAGTTTCCCCATCTTTGCCTACTTCATAGACTAAAGGAGAAAAAATGCATGTGCTGCCCTCAGCATAATACCTGGAACGTGGCAGACGCTAGTGAAAGGGTGTTATTATAATAAATCTGGGGCACCTTAGATCTGGGCATCCAAGTGCTCCCTCCCAAGACATCGGGGGAGCTTAGGGCCTTAGCTCTCCCCGTGCCCTCACCCGCACTCACTTGGGTAGCGAAAGTAAAATTCATTGTCCGCGTTACTGTGGTTGTGCCAGTGCCAGAGGGCAGCGTCGGTTTCATGGTTGTAGCGGACAAAGACCGCAAAGAGGATGGCGGTGGCGCCCTGGAGGAGGAGGCACAGCAGGGGCAGCTGCAGTCGCCGGCCCGCGGTGCGGCGGGGAGACCCGGCCATGGGATAGAGGCTGCGAGTCTCCGTCTCCGGCTAGAGCTCCTGGCGCGCGGCTCTGGGAGACACTCACCGGGCGGGCCGGGCAGGTTTCACTAGAGCCAGGCCCCGCCCACTGGAGCCAGGCCCCGCCCACAAGGTGGCTTACCTGCCCGCAGTTCCCGGCTCCAGCCCGGGAGGTGGGGAAGGGTGGGCGACGTCCCAGGCCTGAGGTGGGGCAAGGAGTGGAAGGCGATGGGGCGTTTGTACCCCCAAGTCCTCTTTCCTTTGGGCCAGCTGACCCTGGCGCCGTTCCGGTTGGGACAGGTCCTTGGAAATGACCCTAGAGAGGCGCCCTATGTTCTGCCTGCTGGGGCGCAGCTGCGGGACCGCAGGGGGCGGTGGGGGGGAGGAAGAAGGGAGGGCACCCGCCCCCTCAAGCATACTGTTAGAGAGTGTTTCCCAAAGAATAAGCGGCCTTATAGGCTCAGACTTCCCTGGCCGAGCCCCTCCAGGGTTAATACAAGAGAGAGGAGAGGGATTACTCAATCTTTTGCCCAACTGAAAAGGCGATAGGGAACGGAGATAAAGAACAGCCGGCTCTCTAGGCATTGATGATTAACCTGGCCGGGGAGGTCTGAGCCTCAACAGTTGCGTTCCTTACCCCACTCCCAAGCCTCAGCCTCCTCACCCGCGTCTGCATCCCACCACACTTGTAGGTCAGAAGGCTGGACCTGCGAGCAGGCTGGGCAGGGGCCAACTGACACTTGGGTTCCCTGCACGTCCAGTGTGGATATGAGAGGGTCTGGGCTGCCCCAGCAGCTGGAAAGAAGGGAAGCTAGATGGCAGGAGGGTCTTCTCAGTTAAGAGTCAAGAGACCCTTGTTACACAAGCAAGGTTTGCATCCGCTGGGGTCCTGGTAGATAGACAGCGAGGAGGCAGCTGTTAATTGAGCACTTACTGTGAACCAGGCTTCAGAGATGAACCAGATGACCCCTCCCTCCAGGAGCCACTGTCCAGTTGGGAAAGAGACACTTAGGAGAGAACTGAATTACCACAGGGGTAAATGTGTGACCCTGGGAATCACAGAGGCTCTGGGGGCCTAGAGGAGAGGCTGCAGAACCCACAGGAGTGGGGATGAGGGAGGGGACAAAGATGGAGAATTGCCTCCCGGGAGGTGGTGTCTGAAGGCAGCCTGGAAGGCCAACCTAGAAACTGAGTAAGTGAAGAAAGAAAGAAGAGGATATGTTTCAAGAAGCGGACCCACATAAGCAGAAACCGTGCACACGTTCAGGGTGCTCAGGAACTGAGGCCAGGGGTGGGTATCAGCAGGCAGAGGTACGTGGCCTCTACCCAGTGGGTGCCGGGCCCCTGGAGACCTCTAAGCAGATGGAGGACCCTCACATTATTGGTTCTGACTCCCAGAGGCCACAAGGGGCTTCACAGAGGAAAACGTGAAGGCCAGTGGGGCTGGTGGTGGGGAAGGCCCTCTGTCTACACTGCCCGTAGCCTAACCCCAGCTGTCTGAAGGGGTTGTTGTGTGGGAGGGACTTGTGGGTATTTGCAAAGATGTCTCAGACCTCGGCCTGAAGGAAGAGCTGCCATTCTTAGGGGATGTGGCCTAGGCCCATAGGAACCAGCCACTGCCCAGAACTGATGGAGGGTAGGGCTCCTCCTAGGAATGGGGGTTGCCCCTTCTCAAGAATTGGAAGGGACAGGAGTGACAGGGGTCCCTGACCCTCCTCCTTGCTTCCCCTTTTGCCCTCTCCCCAGTTCACCTCCTCCCTACCTCCCCTCAGGGTCCTGATCCTCTGGCCCAGCATGGGCTCTGGGGTACAGTTGGATTCTAGGTGCCCAGCCAGGCAGGCATGGGAGGGTGGTAGCTGCCTCTGAGCACTGCTCTACCAGGCTGAGCAGCCTCTCTGGCCTTCGGTGGCCCCTGGCCCCGAGACTCTCTCTCACTTCTTGGTCAGCAAGATGGCTGTTTTCTAGCTCCTCTGCAGGTGGTGGCGTGGGGCGGGGGGGAGGAGAAGATGTCTGGTCAGCAGCCTTTGGATAATGATTCTCAGATAATTCAGCATCTGGGGTATCCTCCCAGGTCCAGCCTTCTGCCCCAAAAGTTCAGCCTGCTTCCTGAGCCCTGTTTGGGAGCAGGGGTTGCCCTGGGTTGCACAGGCAGGGACTGGACAGGCCCTTAAGGGGAAGAGTCTTCAAAAGCAGCAGAATGCGAGAGAGAAAGAAGGAGTGAGCTGGGCCTTCCCAGCATCTTCTGGGAGCCTCCACCCTGATGCCAGCCTCCTCCATCTCTATTCACCTGTTGTCTCTCTTAGTCTCTCTGAATTCCTCTGAATCTTTGATTTTCCCTCTCCTCTGTTGCTCATTCATTCATTCAACGAATATTCACTTAGCGTCAACCCTAAGCCAGGTCCTGGGGCTGTGACCTGAGGTTCTAGCCACACGTGTAACATGGTTGGGTCCTGGATGCCTCCAGACCTGGCAGGTGTCAACCCTTTATTTGTTGGATTGTGGGAGGTCTAGAGGGAGCCTCCTGGAAGGGCCAGGATAGCTGGGCCAACCTCTTGAGGGCATACTTGGAGACCTTTGGGGAACTGCTAAATACCATCTTTATAGGAAGATCTTGTTTTGTTTTGTTTTTTTGCGGTACGCGGGCCTCTCAGTGTTGTGGCCTCTCCCGTTGCGGAGCACAGGCTCCGGATGCGCAGGCTCAGCGGCCATGGCTCACGGGCCCAGCCGCTCCGCGGCATGTGGGATCCTCCCGGACCGGGGCGCGAACCCGTGTCCCCTGCATCAGCAGGCGGACTCTCAACCACTGCGCCACCAGGGAAGCCCTGGATCTTGGTATTTTAACAACTAATGGGTACCATCTGGTATCACCCCTGGTCCAACAGAGAGCAAAACCCTGACAGTCCTCCCCTTTTGAGGGTCCCCCTGGCCCACCCGCCCCTTCTGAGGGCTCTCCTGGCAGGCCTACACCTGTGAGGGCTCCCCTGGCCCACCACCCACTATGGAGAATCTCAGTCCATGGTTTTCTTTCGGATTGCCAAGTGCTGTCAGGGCCCCTGGCCCTTCCTCCTGCCTTCTCTGGCTCTGAAAACTCTGATGGAATGGGGGGGCTTCACCTCTCACCCCTTCCTCCACCGCTGACCTCCTCTCAGGGCCCAAACTTTGTCACCAGCTCCCATCCTGCCCGGCCTGGGGTCTGCCCAATCTTTGACCTTCCATCTCCAGTTTCCAGCTGTGACCAGCTGGGCACTTGAGGGTGGCCAAGGGGAACTGGTGTCTGCTGCTTGCCCTGGCCCAGCCTGGCCAGGCTGTCCACGGGGACCAGGGTTTGGGTTACTGAGTAACTCGGGGTTGCTTGGAGCTGTTCTCTACTGGGGTCACCTCCTCCCTATTCCCTGCTCTCTTGGCTCAGGAATCCCCAAAGCCAATTGGGTCCTTTTGCTCCATCAAGCTATCCCCAGTGTTTATGAGGAACAAAAGAGAAAAACAGCAAAGCACCAGAATCAGTAAGACACTTGTTTGTTCATTCCTTCCTTCATTCAATACATCTTTGCTGTGTGACCTCAGCAAATTGTTGAGCTCTCTTTGAGTCTCAGTTTCCTTATCTATAGGAGTAATAATATTCCCTTTGTGGAAGTGTTACGAAGATTACAAATAATTGATGTAGAGCATTGGCATTTTCATAAGCAGTCAACAGATATGGTTATTATTGTTCTGATTGGCTGAGCAGAGAGGGCAAATGGGTTGCTGACTCCAACATACTATGGGCACATGCGCCTCTGGGGACAGGAAAGGATGGAGGGGGCAGACACAGACTTGATGTGTTTTCCTGTCATCGGCTGGAGGCAGTGACCAGCAGAGTCTGGGGCCTAGGACAAGCATATTCAGAAAGGGCCATCAGACCAGCAGCCCCTGTGACACAACAACTCTTGAATAGAGGAGATTTGGGAGAAGGCAGAGCCTTCATTCATTCAACAAACATATATTGAGCACCTACTGTGTGCCAGACACGGTGCTAGGGGCTGGAGATACAGTGGAACGAGATATATCCCTGGGTGGGGGTGGGAGGTCTATCTGGGGGGGATGCAAGTGAATCAGCAGGCAATCGCATTGCCAAGGTGATAGTGGGGGAGACAGGTCCTATGGGGATCCAACCCATGCTGGGGGTGATCAGCGAAGGCTTCCCAGAGGAAGTGAGGCTTACCATGAGATCTGGCCTAATTTCACAGGTAAGGTGGAACAGGGGGATTCCTTTCTGTCTAACAGTCTGGTATGAAACTAGAAAAAGAAACTATACTAGAGAACTCCTCAGCACCCATTTTCTGGGGGTGGAAAATCCCAGACCTCATTTTTTCCCCAAAACCACAGCCACAGTGGCACCATACAAAATACTGTTGTGTTTACATACAGCCAATGGTAAAATCAAATATGGCTTTCTGTCCCCAGAGGCTCACCAAAACAACTTCCATGTAAAAGATTGCCAAAATCAGATTACTTGTGTTTGTTAAGGTTTCTTCATCTGTAAAATGAAAATGACAGTACCTTGGGGAAAAAGTTTGTCAGAAGGCAGTGATATCAAATTAAAACGTTTTCCACTCATGTAATACATTTTGTTTGCATTCCTGCTATGTGCCAGGTGCTACGCTACGTGCTAGGTTCTGGAGGAATATCCTCCACGTTCCATCACCATCAAACAGAGCAGAATCGTGCTCTGTTCTCAGGATGCCAAGATGGATGAGATGTAGTCTCAGTTCCCAAGGCCTGACAGCAGCTCTGCTTCAGTGGTGCAATTCTTGCGATCCTGTTGGGGGTCTGTGATCAATTCCTGAACAGTAAAATTCTGAAAGACAGCAAAGAGCAGAAGGTGAGAGTGTGGCCTCAGAATGAGAGGGACAGAGGTCAGAGTCCCAGCTCTGTCCAAAAGAGATTTTGGAGAAGTTGCTTACCATGCCTTGAACCTCAGTTTCCTCATCTGTTACATGGAGATAAGAATAGTAATAACCCCACAGGGGTTGTTGTGAGGATTAAGGTCCACAAATCACGTGACATGTAGTACGTCTTCAATAGTACAGCCATGGTTGTGACTGTTGGTCAGCACTCACAGCCAGGGAAGTCCCTCAGTCCTTAGTTTTAAAAATATAATTGTGTTCGGTTAACTCTCAAGTGCCTGACTGGAGCCACTTAAGAGAAGAGCCAGGGGGGACCTCCCTGGCTGTCCAGTGATTAGGACTCAGCCCTCACTGCGAGGGCCAGGGTTCCATCCCTGGTCGGGGAACTAAGATCCCACAATCCATGTGGCACAGGCAAAAAAAAAAAAAAAAAAGAGAGAGAGAGAGAGAAAAGCTGGGAGGGAATCTAGGGTGCAGTGGAATTGCATCTAGAAATGGGTCAGGCGGAGGCGACAGCAGTTAAAGGGAGCGGGGAGATGAGAAGCCACATCCCCACCCCAGCTTCCCTTCCTCAGTTCTCCTAAGGATTCTGCTGCCGCCACCAAACCAACCAAAACCACACTCCGCCCTGGACAAGCCAGGAAAGCCGGCTCAGGCCCTACTACGTCTCCCTCTGCCAGCAGCTGTTGTTCAGGCATCCTGGTGTTGGACCCTTGCTCTCCTAGGCCAGTCCCATCCTCCCCTCCCCAAAAGTGAGTGACACTTTGTGATGAACACCTCTCTTCTCTGGAAAGGGAGCAGTTGGATAGAAATATTCTTTACATACAACCCAGGACAGGACAATTGTAAAGGTTGGAAGCACATCTTCTCTGCCCCGGGCCTGAAGCAGCCGGGATGGAGGTGGTAAGATGGTTCCATAAGGTTTGACAGGAGCTGCAGAAGAGCGATCAGACTGGGCTGTGATCAGACTCAGCCTCCCTGGGGCACATCTAGGGACGTGGGCTGTCTGCTCTGATCTCCCTCCTGCAGGCCCACCAGCGTACCAAGCTCCTGAGACACAGAGGAGAATGTGGGATCTGAGTCTCTTAATGCTGTTAAGCAAGGTCATGACCATTCAGCCGTTCATTTCGTAGCTATTTATTGAGCCATGCGTTGCAAGGCCAAGCAGGCCCTGCTTTCAACCCTGAGGACCTGGCAGTGAACAAACAGGCATCGTCCTTGCCCTCATGGAGCTGCTGTTCTAGTGGGGGAGACGCACAATAAACACACACAAATAGATACATAAGATGTCACGAGAGGTTTGTTGAAGAAAACAAAGCTGGGCTAGAGGATAGAGTGACGGGGGTGCTGCTAGACTGGATTGCTAGGGAAGGCCTCAGGAGGGATGGAAGGAAGTGAGAGGGGATCTTACAGACTGATAGGCCAAGGGAACAGCAAATGCACTGCCCCTGAGGTGGAACAGCAAGGAGTGTGGCAAGAGCTCAGTGAGCCATGGGGCAGTGCAGGAGGGGTAGCGGGGGCCAGCACACGGACGGCTCGAGGCCCTGGTGAGGAGTTTGGACCTTACCGTAAGGATAACGGGGAGCAATTTGAAGGGTCAAGAGCAGAGAAATAATATGACCTGATGTATTATTTTAAAGGATCCCTCTGGCTGTCTGGGGAGCAAGTAACCAGTCCAGACGCCACTGCTGCAACCCAGGCAAGAGCCGACGGTAGCAGTAACAGTGCAGAAAGCAGTCAGATTCTGGACGTACTGGGTTGGCCCAAAAGAAGTTCGTTCGGGTTTTTCCTTGACGTCTTACGAAAAACCCGAACGAACTTTTTGGTCAGCCCAATATTTGGAAGGTAGAACTGACAAGGTTTACCGAAGGACTGGATATGAGGTGAGAGAGAAAGGAGTTGCTATGGACCGAATTGTGTGCCCTTAAAGTCATACGTCAAAGTGCTAACCCCCAGGGTGACTGTATTTGGAGATGGGGTCTTTGGAAGATAATTCGGTTTAGATGAGGTCATGAGAGTGGCCCCCTCATGATGGGATCAGTGCCCTTATAAGAAGAGACACCAGAGAGCTCCCCCCACCTCTTTTGCTCTCGCTTTCACTCTCGCCCTCTCTGCCAAGTGAGGTCAACAGAAAGAAGGTGGCTGATTGCAAGTCAGGAAGAGAGCTCTCACCAGAAACAGATCATGCTGGCACCCTGATCTCAGACTTCCAGCTTCCAGAACTGTAAGAAAATAAAGCTCTGTTGTTGAAACTCCCAGTCTATGGTGTTTTGTTATGGCAACCTGAGCTGACTAATGTATGAGTCAAGGATGGTACCCAGGTTTTTGACCTGAGCCACTGGTGGCGGGCCCATCTCCAGCAGGGAACCGAGAAGACCCCTCCCAAATGCAGCCTGTTTCTCCCTCCAGGCTGAGAGATTCACTTTCCAGACTCTGCACTTTAGTTCTGGCGGGTAGTTAGTTCAGGCTCTTACCCGCGTGCCCCTTCTTCAACTAAAACAGGACTTCACCTTTGAGGCCCACCTCAAGTATGATTCCCTGCCTTTGGGCTCCTTGTTGTGTGCTCCCCAAATTAGAGTGCTGGATGCCCCATTGGGATTTATACCTCCACCCCTTCTCTGGACTGGGCCACCTTGAGGGCAACCCCTCTACTGGGCATGGCATGGTCCCCACACCCAATTGCTGACTGAAATGTTGGGCTGAAAGGAGACAGGACTTTGACTCCACCAGGGTGAGTCCTTTCCCGCCGCTGGGAGTCCTTTCCAGATCTCCATCCTCGAGGGCCCGCCCTTTCCTACTGCTTCCTCTGCCAGGCCCTCCACCCTGAGACAGCTGGTCAGCTGGCAATGGAGCTAAGTCATCACACCAGTCCCCACCTTTCTCTGCCAACAACACCTTCACCCTAGGCTTGCAGCTCCAGCACTCACAGCTCAAGCCAGTAGCAGGTTAGCTCCCATGGAGGGGGCAGGCCACACCCCTCCATCTCCGCGGGCGTGGGCAGCGATGGTGGACAGGAAAGAGGGGGGCCCCGCCCTGTTGGCTGGGCTAGGCTCCCTGGCTGGCTCTCAGTGTGCCCTTCACTGTCCTATCTTCTTAGCCAGATCAGTTTGTAAACAATATTATCCTTCCCACTTACTCATTCAATAAATATTTATCTATTTAAGTATTTCATTTTATTAGCCATTTAAATATGCAGCAAATGGCTACTGAGAGCCAGCTATGTGCCGGGCACTATTCTATGCGTTGGTCACACAGCAACGGGAAAAGCTGTCAAGAACAGGAACAAAAAACTCCTGATTCTTCACGAATGTGAAACTTACTAAAGTTCTTTTTAACTGTATTGTTTTAAAATGTGTCACTACTGGGAGTTCCCTGGTGGTCCAGCGGTTAGGACTCAGTGCTTTCACTGCCGTGGCCCGGTTCAATCCCAGGTTGGGAAACTAAGATCCCGAAAGCCACGCCACGTGGCCAAAGAATAATAATAATAATAAAATGTGTCACTCCTTGAAACTGGTGGTCTGACGGCATCAAACTCCTGCCAAGTGGTTTGCAAATATCAGATGAAAAAACCCAGAAGATCCTGGGTTCAGGAAGGGAGAAGCTGGGCCAGTGGGGTGGAGGAGTGTCTTGGGGAAATGCTCCCAGAGAACTCCTCCAGGGTTCTGAATCTCCCCTTCCGATCTTCATTTTTCCAAGCTCTGGACACACCTGAAGTTCTGGATTCAGTTAGAACTGCCACATCTGAGATGAGCAATAAACAGAGAAGCAGGTTCAGATGAAAACCACAGGAGGATGTTACAGGAACTGGGGCTGCTTTATCTGGGCAATGGAGGTCTGAGATTGCAGGGGCTGGGGATGGCACTATTGGTTCCTGTCTTCACCATGGAATTGGCTTACTAAGTGCTTGGAGAAAGCTGTAGGAGTCAGACCCAGGTTTAGGTACAAGAGCCTTCTAGCACCCAGACCTGCTGCCCTGGGAGGAGACTGGGCTTCCTGCAGCTGGGCAGGTAGCTGGGTAATTCCTGGCAGGAGAATCATAGACACAGAGGGGTAGGGGGCCTAAAGCACACTCACCAGAGCCACTGCGGGAAAGCTGAAAAGGCTCAGCAGATGATTGTGAGAGACCCCGTATGGCAGCACCCACTCCCTCAAGTGAACCATGCTGGCCTGGTGGAGACACTGGATCAGTGTCCCTCTGAATCATTTGGGTTGGGGAAGAAACTCTGAAAAAATACCAGTGCTTGCCCCCACCCCCAGAGACTTTGATTTAATAGGTTTGGGTGGAGTCTCAGCACCAGTATTTTTCTTTTAAAGCTCTCCAGACACTTTCAATGAGTAGCCAGAGGTGAGGATCACTGATCTAGACCAGCACATCAGCCCCCTGCCACCGGGGAGCTCGTTAGAAGGGAGAGGCTGGGAATTCCCTGGTGGCGCAGGGGTTAAGAAACTGCCTGCCAATGCAGGGGACACGGGTTTGATCCCTGGTCCAGGAAGATCCCACATGCCGCGGAGCAGCTAAGCCCGTGCGCCACAACTACTGAGCCCATGTGCCACGACTACTGAAGCCCGGGCGCCTAGAGGCCATGCTCCACAGCAAGAGAAGCCACCACAGTGATAAGCCCGTGGACCACAACGAGGAGTAGCCCCTGCTCGCTGCAACTAGAGGAAGCCCGCGCACGGCAACAAAGACCCAATGCAGCCAAAATTAAATAAATAAATAAATGAAAGAAAGAAAGGAGAGCTCTCAGGATCTGCCCCAGACCTACCGAATCAGAAACTCCAGAAGCGGGGCCAGCAGTCTGCATGGAACAAGCCCTCTGGGTGATTCTGATGCACAACGACGAACTTTTCAGGCCTTTTCTAGCTCTAAGAGTCTCAGAACCTCAGGGAAACAAAGGTCGATAATGGCTTACCCTCTTCACCAAGGATGTGCGTTCATGGTTTAACCTGCTTAGAGAGCAAACCAGTCAAACCAGTCAAACCTGAGATCACAGAATCGTTTCACTTCTTTGTTAGTGTCTCACTTCCTGAAAAATCCAAAACAAAAACTACCCATATTCAGACTTTTTCAGTAAGTGTTCAGCTTGGCAGCAAACAGTAGTCCTCGAATCACATGCACCCATCACCTCCTGTCTCAGAAAATCAACTACTTGAGTCCTTAGGACCCTACTGCCTGCTTTATGAGGTCTTCACTTATGGGACCCTGCCATCCACTTGGCTTTCATCCCATCCCCAGGAGTCAGTGTCGGTACACAGAGGGAAGGACCTGCCAGGCAAGAGTTGGCCCAGCTCACCCAGAGAAGAAAGTGGTGGCAAAGCAGGCTTGAGCAGAAGATGTCAGTCCAGGCACCACTGTTCATTCAGTGGAAAAATGCCAATGTGTCAGTGGTAAAGGGAAGGGAAAACCAAAACCCTGTGTCAGAGGAAGCCCACAGCAGAGGGCTTATTTGCAGGGAGGTAGTTTAGCACTCTGCGCTGGAGGTTCTGGATGAGACTAGAAGGCTGTGAGGATCCCAGGGTTTCCATCCCACCCCCTCTGCCCCAGTGTAGAAGAGAAGGAGGGACCCAGGCTCCCCTCAGAGATTTTTCTCCGGGCCTTTCTCTTGGCCTCAGAGCAATTAGAAAGGCCCCAGAACCCAAAAAGGAATCAAGCCCTGGAGAGGAAGTAATGGCAAAATCTAGTATCTCTAGGATACACAGTCAGGTAAGAAGGAAGAAGAACAGTAGTTAGTGAAATCTCAGCCCCATTGAGGGGAAAGCCAGGAGGAGAAGGACACTGGGGGAATGCCGCTCAGGCACACCAGCCATCTTCCTTCTCCCATACCCCTCCCTGCAATTCCCTCTGAGACACGGTCATGAGGATGTCCCAAAGGCACTATCACGTGTTATAACAGGCAACTATTCTGTAAATTCTCTGGACCCTACCTCTTGCTCCAGCTAATGCTGCGGTGACAGTTTCATACAAGCTTCAACCAGCTAAGTGCAGGTACAACCTGTCAGTGTCTCTCCTTGGAATCTGTGCCACCCCTCCCATTTATTGCCCTGGGGCTTCTTTGCAAGAACCTACAAAGACTTATGCATGTGTAAACTGGAAGCATGGGGGTGCTAGGGACTGAATGTAGCCTCCCAAAATTCTAAACTGAAACTGAAACTCTAAGTTGAAACTGAAACTCTAAACTCTACCCCCTCAATGTGATGGTATTAGGAGGTGGTACATTGGGAGTTGATTAGGTCATGAGGGTGGAGCCGCCGTGAACGGGATTAGTTCTCTTAAAAAGGGACCCCAGAGGGCTTCCCCGAGGGCTTCCCTGGTGGCGCAGTGGTTGGGAGTGGGAGTCCGCCTGCCGATGCAGCGGACACGGGTTCGTGCCCTGCTCTGAGAAGATCCCACATGCCAGTCCGAGAAGATCCCACATGTCGCGGAGCGCGTCCGGAGCCTGTGCTCCGCAACGGGAGAGGCCACAACCGTGAGAGGCTTGCGTACCGCAAAAAAAAAAAAAAAAAGGGACCCCCAGAGAGCTCTCTCACCCTCTTTTCACCATGTGAGGATACAAGAAGTTGGAAGAGGACCCTCACCAGAACTCGACCAGGCTGACACCCTGATCTTAGACTTCCAGCCTCCAGAACTATGAGATTAAATTTGTTTTTTATAAGCCACTCACTATACGGTACTTTTTCTGTTTTTTGTTTGTTTATTGAAGTATAACTGACTTACAATATTATATTAGTTTCAGGTGTACAACATAGTGATTCGATTTGTATTTTATTTTATTTTGTCTTGTTTTGATTTTTTTTTTTTTTTTTTTTTTTTTTTTTTGTGGTACGCGGGCCTCTCACTGTTGTGGCCTCCGTTGCGGAGCACAGGCTCCGGACGCGCAGGCTCAGTGGCCATGGCTCACGGACCCAGCCACTCCGCGGCATGTGGGATCTTCCCGGACCGGGGCACGAACCCGTGTCCCCTGCATCGGCAGGCGGACTCTCAACCAGTGCGCCACCAGGGAAGCCCCTTGTTTTGATTTTTTGACCATGCTGTGTGACTTGCGGGATCTTAGTTCCCTGACCACGGATGGAACCCAGGCCCTCGGCACTGAGAGCATGGAGTCCTAACCACTGGACTGCCAGGGAATTCCCTCGGTATCTTTATACATTACAAAATGATCACCACTATGGTACTTTGTTATAGCATCCTAGACTGATTAAGACAGGGAGTTAACAAGAGTGGGGCACTCTTGATCAGCAGGGGTCAGGAGCCAATAGATACATTTCCCCTTTTCATTACCTCTTTTCATTTCATTTCATTTCTCAGAAATGGTTCTGAGATCCATTTCATGAGGCTCCTCAAAAGGTCCTGTGGGATTGAGCATGAGTCACCTGTAGTGGTGGCCAATTGAATGATGCATCTTTATATCATCTTTCCCTTCTTCCCTGTCCACTCCACTCGTTCTGCATACCTTCTCTCTGGATCTCATTCCCAAATAAACTACGTGCATGAAAAACACTTGATTCAGGCTTTGCTTGGGGAGAAACTGGCTAAAACAACTGGTTCCAGACTAGAATGAAGACTATCAGGATGGGATTTTGGAGCTGGATCACTTTTTAGTCAGATGGCAAAAAGGATTCCACTGCTGGTAATTCCTGGTGTATGACAGCATCAAATAACTAAGACTCTCACCCGTGGTGGACTGGGATGTGGTAAAAGGTGAAGTGTTGGCATTTGTGATAGCTATGACCCTTTAATGGCATGGGGGCAACGGTAATTTATAAGGATTGGCTGGCTTTTAACTGCTTTGGAAGCCTTCAGAAAAAAGAAAATTATAGGCTCAGGTCAACTAACTAACAACTCAAGGCATACCACGAAAGTCAGAGAGCCTCTTTGGCAATGTCTAAGGAGACTCTCATCTAAGTTGCAGGGCAGACAGTGAGAAAATCAGATACGGGATCTAACTGAGGGTAGCAGAACAGCAAAGGAGACTGAATGCACAGCACCAACAGGTCTCCTATATCAAAGTCAGGACCCTGATAGGAAAAGAGTAAGACTCAAAGACCTGGAATGAGACATCTGTGCGCATGAACCTGAGAATTCTGAACCTCCAGCTTCATCTGAACACTCCAGGTCAGCAGAAGCTACCCTCTCCCCTTGCAGCGATCAGCACCACCATCAAATACTTAAAGGATACAGGGATGGTAGTTTTGTTGGGATAAAGTGGTGGATACATAAGGGTTCATATACTATTCAATTCATCTGTCTGGCTCCTGCAGAAGCCAAACAGAGTGGATGATAATGGGTTATATAAATTTAACCACATGGTAGCCCCAATCATAGCTGCCATACTGAATGTGGTATATTTACTGGCCAGCTTGTAGCATTGAGATGTGACTATTGGTCTGGCAAGTGTGTTCTCTATCCTCCTTGGTAAGGATGGTTTAAAGCAATTTGCCTTTATATGAGGACAGCAGTACACAATCACTGTCTCGCCATAAGATCATGCTAACTCTCCTGTTCTCTAACCAATAGAGTCTGAAGGGAAATCCATTGTCTTGACGCACTGCCCAACATATGCCTGTCCACTATATTGATGATTTACTAATTGGACTTGATGATCATGAAGTGGTAAGTAGTTTAAGACTAGAAGGTTCAGGCTCCTGACTGTATGGCTGTTAGTGTGACTGACGCCATCTTGGGCACTTAGAGTTTCTCCTGACCTTTCGCTGACCCTACCCAGGACTGTAGTGTGCAGTGAATCACTTCTCTGTCATCAAGGGCTTTGTAGTTAATAGATATTTCCTAATAATCATTCGGACTAGGTAGCCTCTATGCTCTGTTAGTCCCCAAACAATGATGAAAAACCTTCCCTGACATATTCCCAGTGCCCACAAGACTAGTTACCCATTCACAATGTGTTTCCAAGCACATACCCCCATACCCTAGGTTAACTATAAAATTATCCCAATGGCCCCTCTGTGGTATGGAAAGCAGCTCGATCCCAATCCCACCCACTGATCCACTGATTATACGGAGCTGCCTCGTTTTTCCATCTCAAGATGCCTTCTCAGTTTGGTGGGTGCTTTTCATTCCCTCTGTCCTCCAACACTGCAACATTGAAGAAATTTTTAGGGATCCAATAATCTGAGGTATGCCAGAACATCTCCCCTAAAGTGAAGGACAAAGAGTTGCATTTTGTGTCCCCTGCCACTAAGAAGAATGGTAACTGGCAGAACTCTTTAGATTTTGGAGGCAACATATCCCACACATGGGAATATTGCTCCAAACCATTTATTAGGTGACCTGAAGGGCTATCAGTTTTGAGTGGGGTTCAAAGCAAGAGAGAGCTCTATGGCATGTCCAGGCTATGATTGAAGCTGTCCTGCCACTAAAGCCACATGACACACAAAAAACACAATGAATCCAAAGGCCTCTACAGTGGATTAGAACGTTGTAGAGAGTCTCTAAAAAGCCCCAATAGGAGGGCTGTAACACAGACTCAGGGTTCTGGAGCCAAACTCTGCCTACTGTGAAAGAGAATGTTATCATTTGAAAAATGGGCTATAGGGCTTGAGCACAGACCCAGCACTGACTATGGGACATCGAGTGACTATTCATCCAGAGCTACTCATCTTGACTGGGTATTATCAGATCCACTGAGTCATAAGATTGGGGGGGCACAGCAGCAATCCATTGTACAATGGGAAAATGGCATATTTGGGATTAGGCCTGAGCAGATCCAAAAGACCCATGCTAATTACATCAACTGGTGGTCCAGACTGTCTATGTCCTTTGCTCCAGTGCTTTTCCCTCAACTTATATCTATGGCCTCATGGGAAACTTTCCAAGACCAACTGCCAGAGGAACAAAAACTCAGGTCTGATTTTGAACACTTCCTATATATTTGATATTAAGGTATTATTGCTATTTTCAAGTGTAATAATAATGTCATTTTTCAAAAGCATTTATCTTTTAGTGATACATACTAAAATATTTACAGTGAAATTATGTAGTGTGTGCAACTTGTTTAAAATATCATGAGAGGGGAGATGAATGGGACAGAAATGGCCATGGTTAAGCCTGAGTTAGGGATAGATGGGAGTTCATATACTATTCTATTTACTTATGTGTATGTTCTAAATTCTCTGTAAATCAAAGTTAAAAACAAAAACCCAGTCTTGTCCAGAGATGGGTCAACATGATACACTGGGGTTAGCTGTAAATGGGCTGCTGCTGTATCACAGCCTTACTCAGGGGTGGCCCTAAAGGACACCATGGAGGGAGATCCTTCCCGGACCAGAGCCTTGAGCATCACACCTAATCAGTCGTTTACTTTGTATGGCAGAAGTGGCCTGAGGTCGAGTATACATGGAGTTCTGGACGGTAGTGGTGAATGGCTTGGTTGATCAGGGGCCTGGAAGGAGAAAGATTGGAAAATCAGAGACAAGGAAGTATGGGAAAGAAAATATTGGTGGAAAATTTGGGAAAATAATTAAAGTAACTTTTGATTCTAGTAATCAAATTACGTTCCTAACAGTGAAAGAAGGGTAATTTGGTTCTTTCATTCTTGAAGATGTTTTCATCTAACACTACCTTAGCCTTTCCAGTCAAAGCTAAGGACAGCAGAGCCTGAGAGTAGCTCTTCCTCTCATGGAACTCTTAGCCTTGTGGTGCCCAGAGCTCTATTCTCTGCCTCTTCATTCTCTAGGTGATCTCCTCCAGTTTTGTGGCTTTCAATATCATTAATATACTGATGTCTATGGAATTTTTATCTCCTCCCAAGCCTCCCCCCCTGAATTTAAGTCATGTATCTAACTGCCTGGTGGACATTTCCGCTTAAATACATAACAAGCATCACAAATCTAACACAGTCAGAACCTTGCTTCTGCATCCACCCCTTCCTATTCCTCCCCCAGGCTTCTCCATCTCATAAATGACAACTCTATCATTCCAGCTGTTCAGGTCAAAAATCTAGCGTCATCCTTGACTTCTCTTTCTCTCATACATCATATCCATCCATCACCAAATCCTGAGACCTATACCTTCAGACTCTAAACGTTTTTCACCACCTCCATAGCTACGACCCTGGTCCAAGCTGCCTTCACCTCTTGCTCGGATTATTAAAATAACCCCCTCCTCCTCCCTTGCCTCTACACAATCTATTCTCAACACAGGTGCTAGAGTCATCCTGTCAAAATAAATGTATTTCTGATCACATGACTCTTCACAATCCTCCAATGGTTTCCCATTTCACTCAGAGTAAAAGCCAAAGTCCTGGGCTTCCCTGGTGGCGCAGTAGATAAGAATCTGCCTGCCAATGCAGGGGACACAGGTTCATCTTCCTGGTCTGGGAAGATCCCACATGCCGTGGAGCAACTAAGCCCATGCGCCACAACTACTAAGCCTGCGGTCTAGAGCCCACGTGCCACAACTACTGAAGCCCTTGTGCCACAACTACTGAAGCCCGAGCGCCTAGAGCCTGTGTTCCACAACGAGAAGCCACCGCAATGAGAAGGCCGCGCACCGCAACGAAAAGTAGTCCCCGCTCGCTGCAACTAGAGAAAGCCTGCGCGCATCAACGAAGACCCAACACAGCCAAAAATAAATAAATAAAAATAAAAATAAAAAAAGCCAAAGTCCTTAAAATATCCTGCAATGCCCTACACATCATCTGGGATTCTCATCACCTCTCTGATCTCACCTCCTTCCAACTCTTCCTTGCAGTCATGCCATTGCAAATATCTGTCTGTTATTCCAGAATTCCAGGCACGCCTCATGGCCTTTGCACTTTCTGTTCCCTTGGCTTGGAATGTTCTACTCCTATATGGCTCATTCCCTCTCTACCTTCAGGTCTCTGTTCAAATGCTACTTTATCAGTAAGGATTCCCTTACCTCCCACAATCTCCCCCTTCCCTCCATTACACTATACCAAGGGTTTTCACAATTTTGGTTTCAGGACCCCTTTACACTCTTAAAAATTGAGGACCCCAAACAGCTTTTGTTTATATGGGTTATATCTCTCTATATTTACTTTGTTAGAAATTAGAACATTTTAAAATATTCATGTATTCATTTAAAAACATTAGCAACCTCATGTTAACAAATATTTTTAATAAAAATAACTATATTATCCAAAACAAAATTAGCGAGAGCACTATTTACATTTTTACAAATCTCTTTAATGTCTGGCTTACTAGAAAAATAACTGGATTCTCATACCTGTATCCAATCTGTTGTGATATCACATCCATGTAGCCTCTGGAAAACCCCACTGTATACGCATGAGAGAATGAGAATGAAGGCAAATAATGTCTTAGTATTACTTCCTACAAAAATTGTCTTGACCTCAAGGATCCCCTAAAAGGGTTTTAGGAACACTCAGGAGTCCCTGGCCCCATTTGCAGAACTATGTACTACACTATATTTTAATAGTTCTTACTGTCATCCAACATAACTATGTATTTACTTGTTTTCTTACTGTCAGTCTCCCTGCACTAAAATGAAAACTCCACGAGATGGAGACTTTGTTCTGTCCACTGCTCTAACCCCAGCTCCAAGATCAGTGCCTGCCACATGAGAGGCACCCAGTGAATGAATGAATGAAGAAATGAAGAAAAAAGGAACAACAAATGTTATCATTTTTAGGATTATCTCATCACGAAGAATGCAGCGATGCTGTAAAACACCTCATTTTTAAAACAATTCCATTGATGAATTTATCCTGGAGTCTCAAGTACCTATCACCCAGATAAGACAATTAACCACCTATGATCAATTTTATTTCATCCACACCCCAACCCAGGCCCCTCTACCAAGGTTCTTTTGAGGCAAACCACAGACATCATCTGTATATGTTTCTGTATGTATCTCTAAACATAAGGACCCTTATTTTCAACATTTTATTATGAAAATATTCAAACATACATAATAGTTGAATTTTTTCCAGTGAAAACTCATGGACTACCAATACCTAAACTCAACCATAACATTTTATTCTATTTGTTGCATAACTATTTATCCATCCTTCCATCTATTTTTTTTTTTTTTTTTTTGTGGTACACAGGCCTCTCACTGTTGTGGCCTCTCCCGTTGCGGAGCACAGGCTCTGGACACGCAGGCTCAGCGGCCATGGCTCACGGGCCCAGCCGCTCCACGGCATGTGGGATCTTCCCGGACCAGGGCACGAACCTGCGTCCCCTGCATCGGCAGGCGGACTCTCAACCACTGTGTCACCAGGGAAGCCCCTATTTATTTATTTTTTTTTGATGCATTTCAGAGTGAGTTGCAGACATCAGTATACTTCACTCCTAAACCTTCTGTATGCATATCATTAACTAGAGGTCAATATTTGTTCTTCTTAAGGTAAAATTTATATCTGATGAAATGCACAAATCTTAAGTGTACCGTTTGATGAGTTTTGACAAATGCATACATCTGTGTAACCCAAACCCTATATCAAAATATAAAGCCATCAACCAGAAAGTTCCCTCTGCCCGTTCCCAGTCAATTCTCATTCCCACTCCATCCCCCGAGGCAACTGTTGTTTTTAGGTTTTTTTCCATCATATATTAATATTGTATGTTCTAGAGCTTCAAATAAATGGAATGGTACAATGTGTGCTCTTTTCTGCAAGATGTCCATCACTTAATGTAATGTTTTTGAGATTCATTCATGTTGTTGAATGTATCAGTAGTTTGTTCCTTTTTATTGCTAAGTAGCACTCCATTGCTTGAATATAACATTTTATCCTAACCTATCTACCATTATGAAATGTCCCTCTTTATCCCTGGCAGTACAATTTGTCTTTTTTTCTTTTTCTTTTTGGCTGTGTTGGGTCTTTGTTGCTGTGCATGGGCTTTCTCTAGTTGCAGCGAGAGGGAGCTACTCTTCATTGCGGTGCGCGGGCTTCTCATTGCAGTGGCAGGAAGAACTGACATCTTAACAAGATGGAGTCTTCCCTTGGGACTTCCCTGGCGGTCCAGTGGTTAAAGAATCCATGCTTCCACTGCAGGGCGCGTGGGTTCCATCCCTGGTCAGGGAATGAAGATCCCACATGCTGGGCAGTGCAGCCAAAAAAAAAAAAAAAAAGGTTCAGTCTTCCTATCCATGAACATGAAATTTGTTTTCATTAAGCGTGACTATAACTTTTTTTTATTGAATATATTTGACAAATCACATTGTGTATATTTAAGGTGTACAATGTGTTATTTTGATATATTTATATTTTGTAATATGATTGCTGTTGTAGTGATACTTACCACATTACACAATTATAGTACAATATTGTCTAAATTCATTATATGGTGCATTAAGATCACTATGGCTTATTTACTATTTGTTGCAAGTTTGTACCCTTAGACAACATCACTTTTTTATCCCCCCACACCCATCCCCTGAAAACTACCATTTTACTTTACTTTATTTTTTGTTTGACTTTTTTAGATTCCACATATAAGTGATATCATACAGTACTTGTCTTTCTCTATCTGACTTATCTCACTTAGCATAATGTGCTCAAGGTCTATCCATTTTGTCACAAATGGCAGGATATCCTCTTTTCTCATGGCTGAATAAATATTGCATTGTGTATACATACCACATCGTTTTTTTTTTTTTTTTTTTTTTTTTGCATTTAGGTTGTTTCCATACCTTGGCTATTGCAAATACTGCAATAAACATGGAAGTGCATTTATCTCTTCGAAATACTGTTTTCATTTCTTTTGGGTATATACCCAGTAGTAGAATGCTGGATCACAGGGCAGATATATTTTTAATGTTTTGTGGAATCTCCATATTGTTTTCCATAGTGGCTGGACCAATTTACATTCCCACCAACAGGGTATAAGGGTTCCCTTGTCACCACATCCTCACCAGCAACTGTTGTCTTTTGTCTTCTTGATGACAGCCATTCTAGTGGCAGCATGACTCTTAAATTTTAAGTGTGAATGGAGAGATCACTGGCTAAGGGAAGAGGGGACCCATTCAGACTTTATTCAAAAATTGCATTTTGGGGACTCCCCTGGTGGCGCAGTGGTTAAGAATCTGCCTGCCAATGCAGGGGACACAGGTTCGAGCCCTGGTCCAGGAAGATCCCACATGCCACGGAACAACTAAGCCCATGCACCACGACTACGAGCCTGTGCTCTAGGGTCTGTGAGCCACAGCTACTAAGCCTGCATGCCACAACTACTGAAGCCTGCGTGCCCTAGACCCCATGTGCTGCAACTACTGAGTCCACGTGCTGCAACTACTGAAGCCCATGCGCCTAGAGCCTGTGCTCCGCAACAAGAGAAGCCACTGCAATGAGAAGCCCATGCACCACAATCTGGTCCAAACTTATCCACAAATATCTTTGTAAAATTATTTAAATTATTTCTTTCTCTTTCTCCATGGATAATAGCTTAATCAGAATTTTTTCAATGCCCAACCCCAATTCCTCAACCTTAGCTCAAATGGCTAAGCCAAACTCAGGTGTCCCCTTCTCAAACACTGAAAACTTATGGCTGGACTTGAACCCTCATTAAAGCTAAACTGACTTCCCAACTTAGAAATTTCAGGATGCAGTCTCTTGGTGTTTCAAGCTCAAGACTAGTCCTTCTCTGTAATTTAGCTCAGATTTACCCATTGCCTGTCTTTATTTCTAAACCCTGTATCCAGACCCTGGTAGTATTGTATCAGATTGCTATTATTAATTAGTGCAGGCCTCTCCACTTCCATTCTCCCTTCACCCCAAAATGTTTTGCCCATTATATATGCCTTGCTGCTACTTGAAAGCCTCCAATTGCTCTCTAGTGCTTCAAATAAAATCAGAGCTGGGACTTTCCTAGTGGCGCAGTGGTTAAGAATCTGCCTGCCAATGCAGGGGAGACGGGTTTGAGCCCTGGTCCAGGAAGATCCCACATGCCGCTGAGCACTTAAGCCCGTGTGCAACAGCTACTGAGCCTGCACTCTAGAGCCCGCAAGCCACAACTACTGAGCCCACGTGCCACAACTATTAAAGTCCGCAGGCCTAGAGCCCGTGCTCCGCAACAAGAGAAGCCACTGCAATGAGAAGACCGTGCACCACAACGAAGAGTAGCCCCTGTTCGCCGCAACTAGAGAAAGCCCGCGTGCAGCAACAAAGACCCAACACAGCCAAAAATAAATAAATAAATAAAATTAATTTAAAAAGAAAAGAATGAAAATCAGACAGTTTTCTAACAGTTGTTACCAGAATAATTCCCCAGGGAAAGCTGCTCTGTCTGTTCTCAGCTGCTCTACATTCTGCCTCATATCCTATATTCTGGGCATAAAAAACCCTCTTATCCTAACTTTTGATGACTTATTCTCCTACCTCTAGGTCTTTGTCCAAGCTTCCCAACTGACATGGAACTACCTTACTTCATCCGTCCATGCCATCCAATGCAGCTCCTTCATCAAGTGGCACCACTTCCTCCAGCAAGATTCCACGATTGGTCCAGTATCCTACTAACCTCTATCTCTGAACTTCCATTCCCCCTCAGAGTACCACTAAATTTTACAATGAATTCTTTTTCTTATCTGCCTTGTTAGATAGTAAATCCCCCAAAACTCTCTCTTCTGTAATATGTATCCCCAAGTGCCTTGTATAGTGCTTTGCACTCAATGAGCACCTACTATGAACTTGTGAACTAACCAACCACTTGTAGAATATATATGCCCAGATTCCACCAAGGGTTTACTGGGAAGAGAGTAGGGAAAACACACACGATAACTTTGTTCCACAATTCATTTACTGAATTGGGGCAGGTGATTTAACAACAGATTGCAAGATAAGGTTGGGAGAGAAGAGTTCTGGCTTTCTCTCCCAGGAGCCAGTTGTGTCATGGATGCTTGTAAATTTTCAAAAATAGCCATCCGTTGTTGGGCAAGCTGGGTCTCAAGCTGGAGACTGGCATACATACATTCTAGGAGTCCTAGGCATTCCTTGGGCTTGTGGTCAATTCCTGAAGGAAGAGCAATGGAGGTGCAAAGGAGACAAAAGAGAGGTTTTATAATTGTACTGAGGTGGGAAGGGCTCTAATAAGATGACTGCTCTAATCTTTCTGGGCACAACTCAACCCAGATGCAGCTGTGCTCAGCTGTCACCTTCTCCATGAAGCCTATCTGGTTACCCTATTTGAAACCAATCCACTGGAACTTTTTACCCACTCTCTTGCTTTATTTTTCCCTTAGTACTTATGATTATTTGGCATATTTTATAATTAGTTACATAATTGTTGGCTAATTCCCTCTTCTAGAATGTAGGCTCCAGGAAGGCACAGATTTTTGTCTGATTTGTTCACTATTGTGTCCCCAGCACCTAGAAGAGTAAGTACCTGGCGCATAAGTGTTCAACAAATATTTGATGAGTGAATGAAATGGTCTGAGAGTGAGGCCTAACTTCCCTTTCAAGAGCTCAGGGGATGCCTCAGCATTCTTCTTACCTGACATAGTAAGGTCATCAGCAGTGACCCGAAGTTCTTCCTGTTGTCTAACTTTCACCAGTCTTGCTGAAATCAATTCTTTTTCTAATGTTTTCAACTACATTATACACATCCAGCTCTTAGTTAACCTTGGTAGTTATTTATCCATTGTTTGTGTATTTATTGGTCTTGACTTCTTTGCTAAACTCTGAGGTCCTCAGAAACAGGAGTCATGACTGTCTAGTGTGCTGTGTGGCTTCCCACAGGTATGCTAAATATCCACTGATGTCGCCATGGGAGGATGAATAACTGAAATGCAAAGAAACTGAGCTAACTGTTACTATTTCCTTCCCTGGCCACTTTTCAACTAACATTACTAGCAAGCAATAAAATTTTCAGCCAGCTCCAGCCACCTCCTCCATACAACCTTTCCCCCTGCTGAGTCCATTTGGGAAATCCACCCTGCATCTTTCCTTACCTGAGGACAGCTTTGTTGCCGGGATTTTCAGGCAAGTGGCTGGTGGGGAACTTGCTTGAAGGTTAATAAAGCTGGGGGTGGGTTTGGCTCGACAAAGAGGCACAGCATTACCTTCCTCTTCGGCTGGAACAAAATCAGAGGCAAGTCAGAGTTCATTCCGACAAGGGACAGCCTAATTAGATCCCTGTGCCTGGTCTATGAATTCAGGTGCTGAGACCTTGGCCTGAATACCTTCAAAGAAAGTTATATAAGACAAAAGAGAAACCATAGTGGGACTGAGGAAAACCAAGCAGGGTTGGGATAAGCTAAAATCTAATTTGCTTATATTCTGCAAGTTCTTATTGATCTGTGCTACATGCTGACTACTGTGCTAAATGTTAGGGCATACATAAGACATCTAAGACATGGTTTCTTAGGTGTTTAATACCTACTTAGGGAGACGAATCAGACACTGGTGAAATGGTGATATAAAAACACAGGACATAAACAATGAGTCTGACAGTCTTGGGTGAAAGTAAGTCCTTTTATCTTTTAGTTACACTAAGATGTGATTAAATGTAAAAATGAATGTTTTTGAAATGGGGTAAGATATTAATATGAGTACAACAGTCAGAGAAGACTCCAGGCAGGTGGAGGATATTTATTGGACCTTGAAAACAGGAAGCTTTGGATAAGTGGAAAAGATATTTCAAGTGGGAGAAAAAAAAAGATGGCGTGAGCAAAGGCAAGGAAGCAAGAATATGGCCAGAAGGATGAGGAGCCCTAAGAAAGTGGCCAGAATTAGAGGGTGGAGAGTGGGAAAGCAGGATGGGTCATGGAAGACCCTTTCCAATAGCAAATCTGAGACTTTCTCAGAGTCACTGAGCCTTTTAGGATTAGAAAATATGATAAAATTTCTACTTTAATTAATCCACTGGGATTAAAATGGGTTGGACATGGAAGTTCTCAAAGGGGAAAACAGATTACCTTTGGCAAAAATAGTTACGTTAGAAGGAATATTTGATTTGTAGGGAGAAAATCATGAGTCCTATAGGAGACATATGTCATTTCTGTCTACTGGGCAACCCTTGCTCTGGGAAACTACTCTTTCCCCAGATTCCAGGTCATACATACATCAGACCCCTCTCCATATTCCAACGGGAATAGGCATGTGACCCAATACAGGGCAACCATGGTATCCTATCCCCCTTGGCAAGTGTGACTGATTGAAGGGGTAAGCACATGAGGCAAACTGGACCAATCATTCCTTGGCATTGATATATAGATTCTGTGTCAAAGCTTGCTTTCCTCTGATTTGCTATGCTGGGAAGATGTATTTGGGGTCAATGAAAGCTACTGAATTTGGCTAGCATGCTATGAGAAGCAGATACAAGCAAGAGACTAGAGAGAAGAGAGAGTGCAGGAGAAAGATGGAAAGATGGGCAGATAGCTACAGGCACTGAATCCCCAGTTCCAGTCCCTGTGGTACTGGTAGCTCTTCTTCCTACTGACTACCTCAGCAACCTCCCAACTGCACAAGCCTCTGAATTTCCTTTCTCACTCAAGGGAATCTGAGTTGGGGTAATGTCATATTAACATAAATCACATTTTGGACATATTGGATCTGAGGTGAGACAAGACAGTCCAAATAGAAATGCCTAGAAAAACTGCCAGAGAGAAGGCACTGAGCTCAGGTGAAAGGTCAAACTGCCAGGCCAGTCACAAAGAGGTGATGAAGGAACTGCAAAAATACATTAGCTCTCCAAGGTCAAAGACTGTGAGAGAAAACTGGACCTTTGGGGAACTGCTCCTCGGGAGTTCGGAAGATGAAAAGGAAGTGGCAAAGTAGACAGAGGAGCAATGGATGGAAAGGCAGAACAGCTGGTTCTATGAAAGAATTAAAAGGGTTGAGACAGTGGGGAATCCATTATTCACTATCATAATGACATCAAAAAAGGATTAAAAAATTGAATTCATTCACTCATACATGTAAGAGACAGTTAAGTGCTTGCAATGTATCAGCCACTGAAGATACCACAGTGAGCTAAACAGACATGGTTGCTATTCTCATGGAACTGACAGTATTGCCGTTTAGACAGTCATTAAGTGATCAAGCACCATCAGTTACTCTTGGTGAGGGAAATCCATGTTTTTGCCCTGGGTTTGTGGATTTTTCTGAGCCCTACCGTAGGTCTTCCATCTTCTCCTCACTCCTGCTCTAGAGTCATCACCACATTTGATGGCTCATTCAGCATGGTAAGGAGCTAGAAGGTGAAACTCAGGCCTCAAGATTCTTCTCACCATTTGAAAAATTTGTGAACTTCCATGCAAATGCACTTCTAATTTGGGCCCTTCCTAGGTGTATGAGGATGCATTTTCTACTGAATTCTAAGGTTTGATGAGTATGTTACACACAGTCCATACTAAAGGAACCATATTTCTGACTGGACAATGTATAACAGAGGATGAGGTTGGGGAGCAGCAAAAGGAAGCAGAACAGAGAAAATAATAAAAAGTGATTTACATACATTATCTTATACATTTCTCATAATGGCCCTATGAAGTAGGTAGCTTTATCTGCATTTTTTTTGAGAAAACTTAAGTTAGGAAATTTGCTCAAGATTCCACAATGAGTATGTGCCAATGGCGGAATCAAATCCAGGCCTAGAGACTCCAGTCATGCTCCTTACCACTGCACAATATAATCTGTGAGAAGAGCTAGTTCATTTATGTTCAAGTTATGAGAGAGCAAGCCTCTCAGATAGAGTAATCTACCCCACCTAACAGTTAAATGAATAGGCTCTGGAGTCAGATGGTCTCAGGCACTTCCCTGGCCACCAAGTGGGACTGTCCCACTCAGTCTGAGTATCTGTTCACTCTAGCCAACAATATGTCTTCTGTTCTAAGTATTAAGAGGAGATACAAAGGAATAATTAATATATTCATTCAACATACAATTATTGAGCATCTGGGACTTTCCTGTTGGCACAGTGGTTAAGAATCTGCCTGCCAATGCAGGGGACACAGGTTCAAGCCCTGGTCTGGGAAGATCCCACATGCTGCAGAGCAGCTAAGCCTGTGCGCCACAACTACTGAGCCTGTGCTCTAGAGCCCGTGAGCCACAACTACTGAAGCCCGCACGCCTAGAGGCCATGCTCTGCAACAAGAGAAGCCACCGCAATGAGAAGACCACACAGGGCAACGAAGAGCAGCCGCCGCTCACCACCAACTAGAGAAAGCCTGTCCACAGCAATTAAAACCCAAAGTAGCCAAAAATAAATTTAAAAATTTATTAAAATATATTAAAAAATTATTGAGCATCTATTATTTAACAGATCCAGTTCTAGCCACTGGGAATACAGGAATGTTTCCATTTAGTGGGAAATGCAGAACAAATACAAATACTTTCCAATTAAATAAGTAATAGGAAAAAACATACATACAACTAGCTTCATTTTCCCACAAGCTGAGCAATTAAGGAGGTCTGGTTTTTTTTGTTTTATTTTTTGTTTTTTTTGTGGTACGCAGGCCTCTCACTGTTGTGGCCTCTCCCGTTGCGGAGCCTGTGCTCCGGACGCGCAGGCTCAGCAGCCATGGCTCATGGGCCCAGCCGCTCCGCGGCATGTGGGATCCTCCCGGACCGCGGCACGAACCCGTGTCCCCTGCATCAGCAGGCGGACTCTCAACCACTTCGCCACCAGGGAAGCCCAAGGAGATCTGGTTTTAAGGGAGAGGAAGCAGGGCCTCTGACACACCTCTTCTGTTAGTAGGATGACTAGAATGCTGCTCCATCTGAAGTGTGGTGCCTGGGAAAGAATCATATGACCACTGACAACCCATGCTATTATTTTACTATTAACAACTTCATAAGTTCTCCCCAGCAGAGCTCAGGCTGTTCCAATTTGGGGAGGAAAAAATGTGAAAGGGTGTACTGTTCTATCTCATGGCCAAATATAAGTAATTGTTCTTGAATTGATCTTGGTCTCACAGCCCCTTCATTAGTTTGGAAAACAGCTGCTTCTAGTAGCACTGCAGCCTTTTTTCCCGGACAAAATAGTACTGTAACCATGCCCAAACCTTAAGAATCTCCTATGAACGGGCAAATATTCTGTGTTCTCTCCTCGTTTTAATTTCTGTAATATCGGTCCTTTTCCTGTCTTGTAAGGTAATTTAAAAACTCTGGCTTCCCAACATCTCTAACGCACCGGTAGCTGAGGAGATGAGGAGGGCAGAGGAGGGAATGGGCGTGGAGAAAAAAAATCTTAGAGCACTACAGGGAACACTTGAAAAAGTGTTTTAGATAGGATAACTCGGGGAAAAAGTAAGCCATCACCCTCCGGTACCGTTCACAGCCTCAGCAGAACACATTTACCTAAGAAGGTGAAGGTCCACGCACAGCAACGAGTCAGAGACAATAAACCACAATTCCCAGCGTGCCCGGAAGAATAGTTAACCGCCCAGCCCAGTCCGATCGGACTACAACTCCCATTTCACCCCGCATCACACGGGCCGGGTCTTCCCTCAACCACCGGTTTAAGCCCCGCCCCTCCATCCCTCCCGGTTGCTAAGGCTGGAACTAAAGCGTGGAAACTGTTACGCTTTTCTTGACCTTCGGAACCCGAGAGGGGCTGAGACGCAAGAGTTTAAGGACCTCACCTGCGGTGTTAATCGAAAGCCTCAACCCCAGCACCAACCCTTGTAGTTGGTACACATGCGCAGTGGCATGTCGGCCAACTGCCCCAGCCTTGGCGCTTGCGCGGAGGTTCGCGCTGCACGCGGCCGGGAGCGGCCACCCTATTGCGCAAGCGCCTGTGCCCTCTCACTGCCATCATCGTGCTCTCTCTATCTAGCTTTCCCTGCGTTCTTACGTAGGGGGCGGGTCTAAGAATGTCAATTGGTCTGTGTGCGTGCCGGTCAGTGAGGTGGGTGCGGTGATTGGTGGCGACCCGGAGAGTAGCGGGTTTGCGTGTGAGCCCTGTGGAGGCAGCGTTTTCTGGGCTTCGCTGGTTCTCTCTCTCCAGAAGGTTCTGCTGGTTCCCCCAGCTCGGGGTACCCGGCTCTGCATCGCGCCGCCATGATGGGCCATCGTCCGGTACTCGTGCTTAGTGAGTTGTGGGAAAGCCGGGGAAGGGACCCCTCCCTCTTCACCACCCTTCTTTTTCCGCACTTTACAGCCTTGCCTCAGCCCAGTCCCGCTCAGGTCCGGCCACTGAGCCTTACAGTCGTTAATTTTGGAAGCCCCTTCTCCCGTTTTCCTCTCTTCTCTTAACCCATTCCCCTGTCTTGGCAAATGCAAACTGACCTTCCTGTAGCCGAGCCTGTTGAACGAAACGGCGTTCCGTTCTTCACCCCCAACCCCCGCCCTTGCACTCTTCCTTGAGCGATTTTCAGTGTGTAGCTGAATGAATAAAGATTTTTTAGTTTGGCCTAGCTTTATAATCTTGGCCCATCCCTTCGTAACGGTGTGGCCTCGGCCAAACTGCTTGATTGAGAATGGCTCCATCTTTGTTATTAGGGTTAACAGTATTTCCTCATAGGATTGTGAGGCTTAAATGAGATAAGGAGATACAGCTGTTTAAAAGAGGGTCTGTCAAAACAGTGAGTGGTATCCTTGGCCACTTCCTCTTCGGTAGCCATCCTCTTGAATTTCTGTTAGTCAACCCCTTTTCACGAAGTAACCCTGCTTCCCTCACTGGTCTGGCTTAGATGTAATTATTCCCTCAAGTGTCCCCTCCGTTGTAATCTTTCCCACTTACCAGCTGAGTTTTCCCAGATTCCTCGATTGGTTCTCTTTACCCTTAGGGAACATCCCAGATTTCTTTCCTTACTTACGAGTCCCATTTCCCTTGTCTTCCCTTGGTATGATTCCAACCTGTGTAACTTTTGTATCCTATTTGCAAGAGCATTTGAGCTGCCTGACTAGCCATTTTCCCTCCCTCACCATCTTCTTTGTAGAGGAATGCTATTCCAAGATTTTATCTATTTTGTCTATACCTGGAAAATAACTGTTTTCAGACAAGAATTCACTTAACCCAGAAAAAAACCCTGTTTTTTCTGATGAATCCATCAGAAAGGTCCATGCAGGATTTTAGTTATCACTGTCTGAAATAGGAATCGAAGTCCTGAGAATTGTGTTTAGTTTTGATGGGACTGGATCGAAAATTTTACAGCAAATTGTAGGGAAAATATAATTTGGAGAGAGGAGTGAGACGTTACTTAGGTTCAGTTATAGTCTTTGGCTTGTCTCCCATTGAGAGGGCCCTGGGGTGACTGAGTGGTGCATTGTGCAGCCCTTTGGAGGTCCACGTTAATCTCTGGCATTAGTGGCTGTATCCAGTTAGGCTCCTTATAAAATACGTAGTCAGCTCTTCCTAATGGTAAATGGGTAACTGAGGCATTCTTGTTATGTCCAAGCATGAAGTGACTATCTTGGCAGACCCAGACACTTGAGTGTGTGTTCTCATTCCACAGCACAGTGGGGGGCACTATCAGTAATTATGCTAGGACTGTCAGTATGATTCCCCATATCCAAGTAGGAGAATATGAACCCCCAAACTCCCTTTTTACGTAAAGGAGAGATTGATGCTTTTAGAGACACCAGCCCTTTGAGAATCTCACGGATCGCAGATCTCAGGTTATGAATTCTTGCTGTAAATACATGAATGTTTGGCTAGAGGGAAAGTGATGACCAGGATTCCAAAGTTGAAGCTTTATGGATTGTTTCTTCATATACCAGGGGTTGAAGTAAATAAAGAAGTAAGTAGCCATAAGTATGTACGTTTACTTTTTAACAATTTGTCGAGGTATAGTTGACATACAATAAGCTGCACATATTTAAAGAGTACAAGTTGATAAGCTTTAATTCATATATACATGATGAAACCTGGGTGTTTTTATTTTCAAAGATCGGGGAATAAATAGCTTATATGCAGTGTGGCAGTCCTGAGCTGTTGCCTTTTGTTTTTATATATTTTAGGCCAGAACACAAAGCGTGAATCTGGAAGAAAAGTTCAATCTGGAAACATCAATGCTGCCAAGGTAGGTAGCACATCTTTTAAGTTGTTTATAATAGTTTGCCTGTAGCTGCCTTCCCTAGTATTTCTGTATTTGTTTGCAATTTGGCAGAGGAAAAGTTGACTTCCGTTCCTTCAGGATATTTCCCTCTCGGTGATAAGGAGAAGGAAGCCTTCCCTCTCTGAGCTAGGCCTAATGGTCTTCTCATATTAACTTGTGCATATTCTATTGCTGTACGTTGTCTCATAATATTCTATTTGTGTTTGTCTCCCATATTAGACTGAGTTAGTTGAAGGGAAGAACTGTATTAATTCCCTTTTGTATTCCTAGTACTCATTGTAGATCCTGGATAGGTAGGTATTCAGTAAATATCTTTTGAATGAAAGAATGAAAAAGTCATAGCTCTAATTAGCGTGGGGTGGAGGCTACTATCATGGAAAGAAATACAAATACACGGACCTTCAGTTATCTGGACTGCTGGGAAACTGAAGCTCTGGAAGGCATGTCTCTTTTTTTCCTTGTGAAAAGTTATTTATTCTGCATCCAGAAAACATTCCCAAAGTGGAAAAAGCAAAGAACAGAATCTAGCCATGTGGCGTGCTGTATTTAAAGTGGTCGCCAACCCTACTTTGGAAGTGTCCTTGTTAAAATACTGGCTCTGTGGGTTACTCATGCCTCTTCCCCTAACACACTCACCATCTTCTGATTTGTGCTTACATGTTTTGTATTTTCTTTCCATAGACTATTGCAGATATCATCCGAACATGTTTGGGACCCAAGTCTATGATGAAGGTAGGCTTATCTCATACTGAAACTTTGACTACAGATTTTCCCTTTCTGTTTTCTGGGACACTTAAATATAACTTTTGCTTTTGTCCTAGATGCTTTTGGACCCAATGGGAGGCATCGTGATGACCAATGATGGCAATGCTATTCTTCGAGAGGTTTGACTTTTCGTTTTGCTTTCTAACATTTTATAAAGGATACATAAAGAGATAATGTAAATAATGATTAGCTTTTTTGGGCTGCTGTAGCAAGTTACCACAGACTGTGACTTGAAACAACAGAAATTTATTCACATGGACTGGAGGCTGGCGGTCCAAACTTAGGGTGTCAGCAGTGCCATGCTCCTTCTGAAGGCTCTAGGGAAGAATCCTTCCTCTTATAGCTTCTGATGCTTGACCACATTCCTTGGCTTATAAACTCCCCTTCTGTCATATGGCATTTTCTTGTGTGTCTCATAAGGGCACCAGTGGTTGGGTTTAGAACGTACCCTGGTTACCCCTGTGACCTCATTTTAACTTGGTTACATCTGCAAAGACCCTATTTCCAAATACAGTTTTCAGGGGATGAGACATCAACATGTTCTTTCAGAGGACACAATTCAACCACAACAATGGTGTTCGCAATAAATAAGCTAAAAGATACTGTTCTGTTCTCAAGAAACTTCAGTAGTTAAGTTGTCCTAATGCATTTTTCCCCAAAAAGAAAGACTTGGAAAGGTGTTTTACTTAGATCTCTTAGGGGCCACTTTTAATCTTTAAAGCTGTGGTAAAACAATAAAAGGGAGTCAGTGTGGAAGCAAGAAGCTCAAGAGTTAGGACCAAGCAGAATGGGTTAAGAGGTCTTTCTTTCAGATTCAAGTACAGCATCCAGCAGCCAAGTCCATGATTGAAATTAGCCGGACACAGGATGAAGAGGTTGGAGATGGGACCACATCTGTAATTATTCTTGGTAAGAAAAGAATGGAAGGTTGATAAGGAAAATTAGATTGAAACATTAAGATTTTTGCCAGAAATAACGTCAGATATTTTTGTTTTGTTTCGGCCGCAACGCGCGGCATGTGGGATCTTAGTGCCCTGACTAGAGATGGAATCCACCACACCCCCTGCAGTGGAAGCATGGAGTCTTAACCACTAGACTGCCAAAGAAGTTCCCTGAGTCATATTTTAAGAAGAACATTTTTACCAATCCACTAATTATAAATGTTTAAAGAACCTTTTGCTAATTTTCTGTGTATTCTCTCCAGCTGAGCATAAAATGTTCATCGTGGTATAGGATGAGCTTTGCAAATCTGGTTGAATAAAATACAGTCCATTGTCATTACTCACAATAAGTTATATTTTATAAAGTCACCACAAACACTGAATTAGTGAATACTAAACCATCACTCCGGGGGGAGTATGGGGTTAGGTTCCTCAAGCCTCCAGTCACATATTTATCAGTGCATAAATATATACGTTTTATGTTTTGTTTGTTTTAAAGATACCTTATTTAATATATATTGTTGATTCATTAACACTGGACTCATGCCCAGTAGCACTATAACTTATGCCTGAACAAATCTTATG